ATGGCAACTGAAATAAGTGAGAAAGTCTTTTCTGATTGTAGGTAGGCTGCTTGGAATGGCTCTATTGCGAAATATAAATTCAAAACTTGGGAAGACACTGTTCCAGGTATATAGCCGAAATTCAAGGATTGAAACTCGGGAAGAAAAATGGATTAAAAACTATGATTGTCTATTGCCTGCCTCTGCTTGATCATTAACAAGCGAACAACTTTCTTCTTTTCTCCTTGTGTCGTGTGCGTTTTTACTTTTAATTTCAATCGTTGAAATCCTTCTTTTATTGACTTTGCAGAGTTTGTAAATTTTCTGCTAATCCGAGCATTTTCTGTGCGCAACTAATGTTTCACATACCTTTTCACATCTCACCTGCAGGCATTAGTTAGTGAAGCAGTGAACTGAATTTCACTTCACGGACGAGCTCCGAAAATTATCAGCTTTGCCACTGTCGCCAATGGGACAATCTATTGGCCAAAAATTTTCGATATGCTAATAAGAGAAATCTTTGTTGTTTTTGTTATATTATTATCACTTCATGTTGAATAATTTTTATTAAAGACAAGTTTTTTAGAATTTGTTTTTTTTTTTTTTTTTCTTTTGCTTTTTCTATAACAAATAAGACACATTTGCAATTTGGTAAAGAAAGAGGACCGGCGGCGAAATGCATTGGACTTCGTAACGTGTTTTCCTGTTTGCAGACAAATGAAAAGTGGCCCGTATTTAAAGTCATTAAATAAAACCCAATTTTGGAAACGCGCTGTACACGTACTTGGGTATTAATAGTCGCTGAACATGTGTTTGTAATGCTGCAATATAATGGGTTTAACAACTCAAGTTCATTGCACTTCTGTACTGTCAATGACAATGTATTATTAAAACATTTACCATTTTCTCATTATGAGCTCGGACAACTATCTTGATTTTTTTTTCTTTTAACTTATTAGCCGGTTATTCTGTTTGTGTTTCCATGTACATATACCCTCTTGCGTGTATATACTTATATTCCAATTACAAAGTAATGCGTTCGGAAAGCTGCTCTCTGACGCTTTATTAAATATTTGTTACATTCGCTACATGTAGACAAATAGACGCATACACAACGGTACACCAGCATTATTTCATCAACAAAATTTTATGGTATAGTTAACCGGCTCAAGTCATATATATACCCACGTAAATACAATTTATACGCGTTATACATTGCATTTTTGTTGAATGGATTTAAAAAAAAAAAAACTTGCCACTAGGTAGAATTCGTTTTGATAGTATAGTTGCTGACTGTGAGAAACTGGAGATTGCTTTCCTGAAGCACTTGCTTTCGCATAAATAGAAGCATAAGTTCTATCATACTTATATGCACGTTACCGCATATGTCTGCAATTTTCTGCTAATTTAAATACCACGAAGTTCGAAACGAAGTACATCGTTGGATTAGGGTACACGAAAGTTTGATCTGCTCAAAAGAACATTTTTTTAGGGATCAGCCAAAGAGAAATGGACAAAAGATATAGATGGAATCGCGAGACTAAGTTCTCGTTTTCCGCAGAGATTTTTTCTAAATCGTCCCTGATATCCCTACTTGTAAAAATACTTGCATATACTTCATAGCCACTACGATACGTTACAAATATTGCGCAAAACTAACAAACTCCTATAGGGTAAACATAAGAAACATTTACTTTTAACCTACATAAGATGTATAGGTAGATATACTTTATATAAGAAAGGTCTTACTACTTATTTGTCATGGTGTGTTCAAATATGTTCAAAGGCTTATAATAAAAAATAATACTTTTTTGGCGGCGCCTTTTCCTGCAATTATCAGCTATAGTGGCTTTAAGTTGCCGAAATGACTGCACAGATTATCTTCCCATCTTACTATAGTTGATTTTCATTGTCAAGGTAAACAACTGAGAAACGAAAATTGTCATTTTCATTATATGGCATATGTATTAAAGTGCAAGGTTATCTTAGGTTTGAAATAAGTACAAGATGGAATTTGTCCTTTCTTCCAATCGTACGCACATGTGTAGCAAATTAACTACGGGGCCTTGAAACACTTTTTCTTCTTGTCTTGCGTTATTTTTTGTTCCACTTTGTGGAATTTTTTATCGTTTTACGAACGACCGCAATTGTGTTTTTTAAATGTCATCTCGGTCTTTAACATAACCATAGATTACGAAAATTTCTCAGGCAACTACACGTACACGTAAGTATTGAGAGCTTCGTTCGTGGGCATCTTACATTTTTGGTTCATTCGTAATATTTGCCTGATGATTAGAACAAAGCTAATATTTATACACAATAGTCCTTCAACAAATAATATTTTTATACTGATCTGTGAATAGTGTAGATCTAGATTGAACGCGTTAAGTAGCAGAAAACTAGAATTGATATCAAACTTTGTGTCAAGTGAGATACTTGTCTTTTTGCATGCATTAGTTCTGATCGATCGTACCGAAGGCGGCGAAATGCATGAAAATCATATAGAAAATCTTACTTGTCCGAATATGTTAGGTGTTTATTACTTCAAACGTGAGACCTTGATGTTGATCCTAAGATTTGAAGGTAAACACAAATTGTCGTTGTTAATTAAGAAAAAAATAATGTGCAAAACTTCCACGCACGCACATGCAATATATATGTTTTGCATGAATGAAGTGCTTGTCTAATTTTAGTCTTGCTATAGCACGTGAGGAAGGTGAAGATCCTCAGATAATAAAATTGAAAAACATTGTAGCACTTGTTTACTCAATTGAAAGTCCTTTAGATGTGATCCCTAATCAAAAGCACAAATTCACTTATTACCTAAGATCGGTTCGATCAAGACAATAACGCTTTGTAGTTCAAGTTTCAGCAATATAGCTAAACAACTCTCGATGAAATGAACGTTTTGAAGCATTTGCTTAGAACTGAAGATTTATTTGGTGAAAATTAAGAGAGATTGATCGAGAAGGAGCCGTACAGTCCGGACTCTACCACGTCATCATTTATGTCGCTGTCTGCGCAACTCGCTTAACGGATTTTGTTACTTTACAGTAACGATATATAAAATTCATATTGTTTCGGCCGTTTAAAGATTAAACGGCCTCGAACTTCAGACTTTATTGCTGTAGATGTCTGACAACGCAAGTAAACTTCAACTTAAGATTATTATGGGAAAAAACTTTTTAAATAGTCTCCACTTCATTGATTGAGTTTAAATTCAATTTCAGCTTGGCAGAGATTTATTTCTGGCATTCCGAAAACACTAATTTCATTCATTGCTATTAACAACAACAATGAGACATAATTAATTATGTGAATGTGACATTTTTATTCAGTACTCCTCGTTTAAAGTTGTATTTCCTGATCTTCCCTACGAGTATACAGAAGTAATAAACATAATAGTTTATAATGTAATGTTGTTCTCAAAATTCAAACGCAGGAGACAATTCGTTGGAAAAGAAGGCTTTATCCCTTTTGGTACATTTTTCATAAAACAAGGTAATACCCATCTGGCGATCTACTTAATCGATGTTGCGATTAAATAGATTTTATTCTTTTTTTACTTTTTATAAAACGTTACGTTTTCATACTTTATCGTACACCATTTAGCTGTGATCGGCTTCAGTTTTATTCTCATCGCCTTTCAATGCTTTGAAAAGAGTTAAAGTCAAGTATTGAAAAGGAATGAATAAAAATATTATGTTGGGCTTAACGCCTACCTATGCAATATATATCAATATTATATAAAAAAAAAAATTACCTAAAACACTACATGCAAAACAAATGAGAACGAATATACGCTTATTTTCAAAGGGGCACAATACATGCAAAACAAATGAGAACGAATATGCGTTTATTTTCAAAAGGGGCACAATACATGCAAAACAAATGAGAACGAATATACGCTTATTTAATCAAACAACTTGGGTAATAGAACTTGCATATAGAACATTTATGCGGAACAGAGACGGAATTATCGTACAAAACTTTTGAGAATAACCACCAACACAATCAGCAAATTTCATGTGCTTTTCCGTACATATTTGAAAGTTGTGCGTGCGGACGGGATTCATGTTTACTTATACATGTATATAAACATGTATGAAATATCAACTCAATGCAATTCAATTAGTTTCAACAAAATCATTTCATAAGTGAGTGCTTGCGAAAAAAAATTGTAAAAGAGGAAGAAAAAAAGGTTAAAAATTAGAAAAAGAAATTTGTTAAAAAGTGAAATAACAAAAATTTATGCCTATCTTAAATATTTATAATAATATATATACATATATATATTAATCATAAAATATTAAAAAAATTAGGAATTGGAATTCTATTGGCGGCAATTGTGACGTGAATTCTTTTTGATTCCTAGGATATATCATGTACAAAACTATTAATTTCTTCTAGAGGACAAGTATATATATTGCTATTTGATTAATTGGTTTTCCCATTACTCTATCTTTACCACCTTCACTTCTGGAATAATCCAAGCAAAATGATAATTCGGTTTTTTATCGCATACTTACCCAGACTGTACAAAAATTTCATGAACACCAAAATGTCTTTTGATGAAACATATAGACAATAAGAATTGTATGTGGTGCATTTATTAAATTCGTACCTAACAAAACCTGTTGGAATGGGGCTTTTCCAAGTCCCATTACAGTCTGTACGTTTTAATGTTACAGTAACAATGTTGAAATTCTGCAGAAAAAGGGAAGAGAATAAGGAGAAAAAACAGGAAACAATCACGTATAAAAAATGTATACGTCGGCTATCACCTGTTTTTACTAGATTTGCAATGCAAACTATCATACACAGAGTTTTTACTAGATAATTTTACTTTTAATTTCTCCAAATCACGTGGTAAGTAAGCCACACTGTTTTGTATAAAAACGCATTAGAAATTTTTTAATATAAAAACTCAATCTCGCGGCGTTTCAAAATAATGTCTTGTTTACTTCATGCATATTTTAATGATGACGATCCAACATCGCTATGTTTGGTAAAGAAACGTTTTAGTTGGCATTACTGTATGTCACGTCAATCAATCGAATTTTTGTAATTTCGTCTATAAAGAGGAGATCAATTTTTCTAAAAGGATAACCAAAATTTGTGAAAGCTATAAACTTTGAAAAAGAGAAAAGAAAAATGAATACTTCAACTCAATTTCCTCGTTTCGAGAAACCGGTAGTGCAGTTCAACGAAACAGGGTGGGGGCCTTGTGAGTTGCCGGATACATTTAAGGATGTGCCGTATCAGCCCTTTAGCAAAAGTGATCGATTGGGCAAAATTTGTGATTGGACGAATACATCAAGTAGCGATAAAAAGTATCAAAGTGAGTAGAATCTTCGTTTGCATCTTTGAATACTTATTTAATTTGTGAGGTTATGTTTTAAATCGACCATTTTTGCACCCATAAATGAGAAGTGCTCGTTTTGTCGATAGCGTGTTGGCGTTACGGCAGAATATCCAATCTTTCCTATTTTTTTTGTTAAGATAAAGGTATCGTAGCTACGAAAATTCGATGAGCAACAAATATAATTTTCTTACTTACTTTTACAAATACTGTACATAAGGAAACCGAATATTTGAAAAGTAAATATGTATATTATAGATAAGTATGCTTCGTCGTTTGGCACTGGCAATCAGTATGCTTATTATCATGAAGAAGATGAAACTACTTTCCATTTAGTGGACACAGCTCGTGACCAAAAGCCACCGCACCAACGTGGACGTTTTCGTACTAATTTACGCAATACAAGGTAGTGTTCCAATGTCTAAGCTTTTGCATATGTTTTTTTAATAACATTTTATTTAAAAAGGGCCGGACGGGGTCGCAATACTCGCGGGGGTTTGAATTCTGTAATGACTACATTGGGCGGTAAGAATATAAAGTCTCGCGACGCACGTCGGGGTATGACAAAGAAATTCGGTGCCCGGAATGTTCCCCCTAAGATACGTGAGTCCTCGGTCGCTGTACGCTCGGACTGGACTTCCATCGAAGAAATGGACTTTCCGCGTCTTATGAAATTATCCTTGCCGAATATTAAAGAAGGCGAAGATATTATAACATGTGGGACTTTGGAATTTTACGATAAAACTTATGATCGCATTAATGTTAAGAGTGAAAAACCTCTGCAAAAAATTGACCGAATTGTCCATACAGTGACAACTACGGATGATCCTGTTATACGTCGCTTGTCTAAAACTATTGGCAATGTTTTTGCTACCGATGCCATATTGGCTACCATTATGTGTTCGACTCGTTCTAATTATTCTTGGGATATTGTGATTGAAAAGTTCGGTAAGTCGTTAATATGAGTATTGAGTTCAGTTCAATGGAAAATAACTATAAGTTCGTTATTTTTCGCTTTTACAAAGGCGATAAGATATTTATGGACAAGCGCGACAATACGGAATTTGATTTATTGACGGTAAATGAAACTTCCGTGGAACCACCAACCGATGATGACAGCTCCCCCAATTCGCCAAGAAATCTTGCAATTGAAGCCACATTTATTAACCATAACTTCAGCCAACAAGTCCTAAAAACTGGACCTAACGAATCTAAATACAAGTTCGATGAGCCCAATCCATTTATAAGCGAAGACGAAGATATTGAGGTAGCCAGCGTTGGCTACCGTTATAAAAAGTGGGATCTCGGAAGCGATATTGTATGCTTTGCATTTTACATTAAATTATCAAACATTGAAAGCAAAACTGTTTTCTTATAAAGGTTCTGGTGGCACGTTGCGAACATGACGGTGTTTTTCAAACGCCTAATGGTGATCATCAATTTTTATCAATCAAAGCGTTAAATGAGTGGGATTCGAAATTAGCTAACGGTATGGAGTGGCGCCAAAAGTTAGATACTCAACGTGGTGCTGTTCTTGCTAATGAATTACGTAACAACGCCTGCAAATTAGCTAAGTGGACTGTTCAAGCTGTTCTGGCTGGCTCGGATCAACTTAAATTAGGTTATGTGTCACGTATTAATTCTCGCGATCCATCAAGGCACGTTATCTTAGGTACACAGCAATTTAAACCCCACGAGTTCGCTGCTCAGAGCAACTTAAGCATGGACAATGCTTGGGGCGTATTACGTTGCATTATAGACATTGTTATGAAGCAGAAGGATGGAAAATATTTAATTATGAAAGATCCCAATAAGCCCATGATACGTTTGTATGACATACCAGACAACACATTTGACAGTGACGATTCCGATGACGGCGAAGGTGACGATGGCGAAGCTTTTCAACCGGTTTACAATTATGGAAATAAGTAAATGTATTGTCCTATCAGTATCATTGAAGAACTAAATACAATTACATTTACTTTAAAATACAAAAATAAAATTCGTGGATTACAACCATTTAATAAGGTCATCGGGTCTTCGTTGCAGAAACATGTACAGCTCGATTGCGTGCCATGACAGCCAATTATTAAATTTTTTGTAAACCAAAAGGGATATTAATGCTTCAAAGAGATTTTATTGAAAAAAAAATCAAAGCAAATAATAGATGTGATGCGCCAAATTTGATCAATTTCATAAGTTTTTAAAGATACTCATGCGTTATACATGTATTTTTTCCTTCTAAGGTACTAAACAACGCCCACGCGCCCGCGCAGCATCCTAACAGAGCTATTTCCGAAATTTGTTTACAAAAAGCATTCAGTATAAACGGACTCAGTATTTCAAACTGCTAAATAGAATATTTACATAGATTACAAGAACAAATGAAAAATGTATCAAAATCTGCATCGTTTTTATGAATTTGTGTTACTACAGCGGTTCACTCAAGGATATTGTTATTTTGAGTATTGCAATACTAATTACTATGTTAGTATATTTATGGAGAATGCGTTTTGCAATATCTTCAGAAAAATAGCTGATGTTGGCCTGTCATTGATTGCTTTCTACCTTTGGTTGTCAATACCGTTTCATAACCTCAATTAAAATACTGTTGATACAGACTTGATTTGACTTGCCAAGTTCGTTTTATCTGTTTGAATCATAGAATCTTTAATTGCGTACAAAATAAGTTTGAGAATATGCTCTATAAATTTTTTTGTAACGGGTGCTACAAACTGCTATTATAATCTACTATTCTTAGAAACGTCAAGAATATATGATCTGCATTTCTTCTCTCTTTCTTATATATAAAAGAGAGGTGTATTGCAAAGTTTTTCAATCAGATCTTTCGTGATGTTCCTTTCGAGAGTGCATTTTTAATTATTATCTTTGAGAGCTTTGCTTAAGCTGCTGCTTGATGTTTTCAGTCGTTTAGTTACTGTCTAACTAGTATTACGTTCAAACGTTGGCGGGTAACGGTAATTGGTGGCAAATTTCTCAACAAATTCATTTTGATAAAATAAAAAATGCGAAAATGCTTGAAAGTCTCACTAAAAAACGTTTTTTTAGTGATTACATTAAGTGTAGCCACAAGAGCGGGTAATGAAACAACATATAATAATAAACTCCTCGTGCTTGTCATAATTATTGTATTGAATTAAAAATCTATACGCTTTCGAGCAAACAAAAAAAAACCTGCATGCATTGTATATATGTATGTTTGTTCTAAGACGATAAGATTTCTATAATTCATTATACAACAAATTTCCAATGTTTTCTGAAAATTTTGATTAACTGAAACATTGCTCTTTCACTCGGACAATATTGATATAATAAGAAGTCGCAAGCAGTTAAGTGGAATTAATATTTCGGTCCCTAGAAAACATATAAACGCACAAAATAAATTTTGAATATTTAATTTCGATTGCTGTTGGAGAAATCTCACGACACTGCACTCTTCTTTAGAATATGTTTTCTGCATATTCATTACTAAATAAATGTTTTCAAACATTTTGAAGAGAATGGCAATTTAACGCACACTTCCTCGACAGAGAAGTTATCCGTGCGAATACTGTCCTGCATAGACATGTATGGCATCGTTAATATACGTTTATCAACGTCAATGTGCGAAGCAGCATTACTTTATAAAACATAAGAATCAATGTATGAAATCCAATCTACAAATGTACATATATAAAATGTAAAATTTAAAAAACTTTCTCCCTCGCTAGCAATCGAATGAATTTGTTTTTGAGATTAGACAAATCCCAAAAAAATAGCATATATTTCGATTTTATCTAGGTGCTCGCTCAAAATCGTTCGTACTTTACACTACAAATTTGTTCAAATGAAACTCAAACGTTTGCACTTTACTAGCGTAGCAAGCGGTTAAGCAGCTAACAAGTTTAGTAACGCAACTTATAAATATGTAATTTTATTTTAATTTTCATGCTGTTTTTCTTCGTGACATGGTCACGAAGACTCAAATCTTAGCGATCAACGTGATAATCAATAATATGGTTACGTGACATTGACCTTTTCAATTATTCTACCTAACCACTTTATTTTACCTTTTTCGTAGCATTACTATAAATGATAAGCGAAAGAGATCTACCTGGGCCTTAGTTCAAGGCTCGCACGCGCTCTTTGTTGTAACCAAAATAAACGGCTCTTAAGTGTTCTTTAAGGATAAAATGTTCATAACGTACTATTTTAGGTTTCGTTTGCGTGCAAAGTAAATCCGAGGCGATATTTGAAGCTTACAATTTCTTTTCAGGCAAGAGCGTCTTCATGGCATACTTGGCTTAATTCGTACTCGCGCAAATAGTTTTCTTCGTTCTTTCAACTTTTTTTTATATCTTTTATAGCGGTAGTGGGGTACGGCATATGCACAAATCCAAATCAGGAAGCCGGCCTTTGTATATCAATTCAAGACTGCGGTTTGCTTTTTGAAATTCTAACGACAAATCTCACCGCTGAAAACAAAGCATTCTTACAAGAAAGTCAATGTGGACAAGATAAATCCCAGTCATCGAGTGCTCTGCAAGTCTTGGTATATCTTCACATGATTGGAAATATAATAAAAGTTTCCTGTTTATTTTCCTTGATTGCTTATTTCCCTCCTTTCTCCACCTTAAAGGTTTGCTGCCCGCATCGTTTGCTTAAAGAAAGAACTACGGAATCAAAAGGCGTGCCCGGCAACACACTACCAGAGGTAGGAACATGTGGTCATGTTCTGAGCACGCGCATCTACGGAGGTAACGTTACTAAGATTGATGAGTTTCCCTGGATGACTTTAATTAGATACCAAACTGGTATGATAACGTAGAATGGAGAAACTTTTATACCGAATTTCACGTTTTTCATTGTTTCGGCAAAGGTCTCAATACTTTTGGGTTTTTCTGCGGGGGTACTCTGATCAACTCACGTTATGTTTTAACTGCAGGTCACTGTTTAAAACATCCTGATATGCCTGCTTCATGGCAAGTTTACAGTGTTCGCTTAGGAGAGTGGAACATAGAAACAAATCCGGATTGTGTTGAAGATGTGAGGGGCAAAAAAGACTGCGCCCCTCCCCATAAGGACGTTCTTATCGAATATGCAATAGCTCATGCCAATTATGTAGCAAACTCCAAGGATCAATTTAATGATATTGCTTTGATACGTTTAATCGAGAGTGTTGAGTATACTTTTTTTATAGCGCCTATCTGTTTACCTACATCTGACGAATTAAGAAGTAAAAGTTTCGTAAATACTACCATGGATGTAGCAGGTTGGGGCTTAACAGAAAAGAAAGTTCCCAGCTCGGTGAAATTAAAAATTATGGTCGATGTTTGGAATATAAGTAGTTGCCAGAGTACGTACCGAACTTTTCAAATGCCCATCAGCGAGGAAATACAATTGTGCGCAGGCGGTGCTCCTTCGATTGATACCTGCCGTGGAGATTCCGGCGGGCCTCTAATGACAACGCAAAAAATTAATGGCAGGGAGGCTTACTACGTAGTGGGCGTTGTATCATATGGACCCAGACCCTGCGGCCTGCAAGGTTGGCCAGGTGTGTATACGAGAGTTGGACAGTACATCAATTGGATCAAAAGCAATTTAGTAGCATAAACGCAATTATCGACTTAACGTCTTATAAATAAAAATACTCTAAATAAAGTCTTTCGCGCCAAAGGCTTGCATTTGACTTAGACCCATTTTTTTGCAATGAAAATATTTCGAAACAAGGTAAAATATAAAGTGACAATGAGACATGCTATGTAAACTTATTTGCAAGCGTAACGAAAATAGCATAGTCCAAATTGTAGTTTGGAAAATTTGGATACATAACCAATGCAAAACAATGCGATCAACGATGGCAATTGAGTTAAGCTAAAGAGAGTAAAAATAGGAGAAGACAAGATAAAATCGTATATACCCCTACAGCTTCTAGAAATACTTTAATAATATTACATTTACACACTTTTGCATATACAAATCACTTGCTAAATATATGAAAATAATCGGCAAACAACAACAAAACACCGAACAAAAGCTGAAGAAGGAATAACGAAAAGTCAGATTTCTAATCTTCAAGTAAGTTGACAAGCAATCAGCTGTACAGCCAGGGCATCATTGTTTGTTTACGTAGCAAGTTTCTTTAGTTCAATTAATTGATATGGTTTGCAATGAAGCAATAGTTTCTGATTAACTAACTATTAGACAAAAGCATTCGTTTTCCCATGTATGAGAGTGCTTCCAGAATCATGTTGGGAGATGTCATTACCTCAGCTAAGATAACAAGCGCCCATTATGTGTATAACCACGCCTACACCATTTTGTCAATACGATTTCCCAAATATTGTTTAATTTTATTGTAGCTGTTAAGCTACGTATTCAAATAGAGGGTAATTTGATACCTTTTACACCCTACACCGCTGACGGTACAGGGAATAGCAAGTTTGTGCGGAGATATGCACCACACAGAAAGCCTTAAGAGGGACCCAGCTTTTATTATACCAAGCAATTCAGAAAATGTTTAGAAGCCTGCTTGTGAGTCTGATGGCTGTCCTTGTAAATTGGTATTCAATTTACAAGCCGCAAGTTTTGAGAAATTTTGAAGAAATTTGGTACACTGGCGTGTTTTGAGCCACGGACGAATCCTACTGAAAATAGTTCGGATCCCCGCCCGCTTTTGCGACCAGTCGCCGTATTTCGAAAAGTCGTTACATAAATAACCAGGCTGATGTAGGATGTTACATTATGGTCCACTATATTTTTTTTTTTTTAATAATATTTAAATCAACTTAAAGAAAAAAGTCAAGGTATTACATTTTAGAAAATATTGTAAAAAATTTGAAAAGATTTGTTGGAAGACTTGAGAAACACGGACCTGAACTTTTGAAGCGCGTTATGGGCGAGTTGTTGTTTATTGCAATAAAATATTTATTATTTTTTTCATTACTCTGCAATCGTAGGAGTATAAAAAAGATCTGCCTTGTTCAAATATTCTTCCTTGAGGATTTTGCGCTGCTACTGATGCTTCTACTGGTTCGTCAAAGACCAAAACTCTCGTTTTCGCATGTTTGGGAATGACAAAGAAACTTAACGATTTATGAACATCAATATATCAGAGCAACATGAACATGCTGGAACGTAAAAGAGAACATCTACCAATTTACTGACCATTTCACTAATAAGCCTTGAATAACGATTAGACTGTTTTGAGTTTTGCACTTAGTTTAATTAAATCCATATTGCGGCCCTTCTCTTGATGTCGTTACGTTAAGCTTATTAGAGCAGATTTCATCAAATAAATAAACAATTTTTAAAATATGTTTAATATTTATTATATAACAATTACGATAGGGATAAAATATAAACACACATACGCTGAATAAACCGAAACGGAGACAAGAAATATAATATAAAATTTGAGGTAATAACAAAACATAATACTAATAAATATATGAAGAAACTGAAAAATTCTAAATATATATTTGGTTGAAAAAGAGAAAAATAATAGCTATGGTGACTGAAGCGGAGCTGTAATACTGAAATTTTACTTTTCAGAGCGCTGAAGAAAAAAAGCTTATGTGGTTTGAATGCTTTGGTATCCAAGTTATTCTATAATCTATGTAAAATAAACTAATCAAGCTTAGAAAAATATTTTATAATTAACTAGAATTAATTTTTTTGGCGAGACATTCAGAAGAAAATGTTTTTTCTTTCTTCCTTCGAGGTTTTTTCCCCTTTTAGCACGTTTATACATTAATCCGTTAGATACATTTGCATTCGTTTGATTTGATTGTTTGCCTGATTAGAGAAGATAGAATTCTTAAGCCATATGCTGAGCTACTATTCGCTTGGATTAGCAATTACACTTTCAGCATTATTCAATGAATTAAGCTTCTGCTTGAAGTTCTCTAATAAACCATTTAGGCTTAAACAAAAGCCCCGACTGGCTGGCACCAACGGAAATTCGGGTAAATTTATGCTAACTGGTTCACTTACGCTACTTGATTCTGATGCACCTGAGAATTCGAATGGAATAACTTGTTTTTGGAATATTTAGAGTGCTAATAATCTCTGCTACATACCTTCTACTTTTTCGGTGTTAACTTTAAGAGAATATTCCATCCAACTTTTAATGCGCTCGTACATTTTTAAGCCCCTTTTTTTAAAATGGTTTAAAATCTCTCCACTAAATATATCTGGCGGGTTTTGCAGCAGCTTTGTTGTAGCTTGTATCAGCTTAATGATAACCATTTCATTGTACATGCGTGAGTTTTCTTTACCGTGCTGCGTGTCTTAGAAAAAAAAAAACACAAAAATAACTTGATAGAAGAGGAATGAAGAATTTTTCATAATGCTGTTTACCTTTTTGTTTTTCATAGCCAGCTTCATTAAAATATGGCTCATCTACTAAAATTAAACCCTGAATGGAAACAATCACTTGCAAAATAGTGCTGTTAGAGCCCCAAGTCTCGGTATCTCTTCCTGACCAAGTGCCTAGTAGGGAAACACAAACTTTGCCATCCTCGTATAAATTGGGATTCAAACGGTCAGAGCAATAGCTAATGTAATGGCATAAAGGAGGACATTTCGGATATTCGGATCCCAATTGTAGATCAAAAAGAAAGATGCCGTCTTCGTATGGTGTTTTCTCAGGACCCTCAATCATGACACTCATTAAATCCATACGATCTTCAAACCCTCTGCAAATGTTAAAAAGATATATTCACGTCTTGCATAAGTAAATACAAAGTACGCCAAAAAAGTTTAGCCTTGAGTCTGCCGTTCATCTCTTCTAGTGTAAAGAATCGAATTGGGCGTAAGGCTTATTATTTATCAAGTTTCTTCTAGTGTTTTATATGCGATTTCATTGGTTTGCCCATCAAACTGACTTCGATAACTATATTTAAGCTAATTAAAAATACGTATTATCAATACATACCTGACCCATACGCCCGGTGGCAAGGAACTTTTCAACATGCGATGCTCTCTTTGAACTGCTTTGTAATACTGCTGTGTATTATTTGGATGGAAAATTGTTAAATGATATTTATGATCCTTTGGTGCTACCGACAATATTTGAAAACACTCTGAAGGCACTGTATATGTTGAAGTAGTAGTTTCTGAAGGAAGATTAACGATTATAGAGTTAGAGGCCACTTTTGGCGGGGGAGTTATTTGCGTCGTCTCTTCTGCGGGCAATAAAGCCATAGTAAAATCTTCCTTATCATCGGCTTCTTGAATTTGACCAGTTGCCTCGTTTGTTACATCTTCTATTTCAACGACTGCATTATTGAAAACATTACTTAGAGTGGGATAGTCATCTTTAAAGTATTTCTCTTTTATCAGCTTAATGAACTGGACCATTTGATCTTTGAGTAAGGAGCAAAGACGTACACAAACTAATTCAGGTGCTCCATCTTCAATTAATTCAATACTACTATTGGAGACGGATTGTTGATTTTCGATAACCTTGATCAAGGAGCAGTTAGTCTCCGCATTTGTAACATCTAAGGAACATAAGGAGCACCCATTATCGTTTTCATTGCGCGAAAAATTACCAGAATCATCTTGAGAAGATGAATCGATAGCCGTTGTCAGCAATGTAGTTTTCTCGTATGCTTTTTCAATGTTGAACATAACCGAATTAAGCAGTTCATTCTTTTCAGCATTATATTGGTTATTTTTGCTGGCTGTTATGCTCTCTTCATGAGTGGCTTCCTCATTATTGCCTGCCTTTTCACTCTCACAAGCAGATATAGTGTCTGTTTTTGCTTCATCCTTCCCATTTCCTGCAATGCATTCTTTACATTCTTGCATTGCCAAATCCTCCATTTTGTTATTTTGTGACTCCTGGACACTGCATGAAGGAGAGGGGCGTCTTTTTGACACTGGACCAACACTGTTTGTTACTATCTCTGCGTTTGAATGTGAAGAATTTTTAATTTGTGTTGACGAAATGTTGAAGATTACCCTTGGAGAAAACTCTTTAGAGGAAGGAGCCTCTAAAGATTGATTTGATAATTGAGATTTCTGAACGTGGTTCACAGCCACAACAGCACTACATTGAATTTGTTGCTTCGGAATAGAATTAGAACATCTCGGTGGAACAACATCGCTGAAAAGGCGATTTTTTTGATCCTGCACGCGCTCATGCATCTTCTGATTGCCTCCCTTTCGTACACGTTCAATAAGTCCCTGGAAAAATTTCGTAACCATAATAAATATGAACATAACAAACTGAATTAAAAATGAACCTTAAAATTATCCTCATGGAAGAAATTTGTGTTTAGTAAACGATCCATATACCGACAACCTTTATAAACATTTAAAAGTTTCTTCATTACCTACAATTTATATTTAAATGGCAAACGAGGGTGCAACAAAGCATAACTGATTAATTGAAATTCACATACCTCAGGATTTTGTAAATTGGGATTTATGTTAAAAATTTCCTCTAGACGACTTATCGCCACACGTGCTTTTTCAATGTTCGTTAAAATTTGCGACTCAGCTAAAGACATTTGTATGTTATTGCTACCGCCGCCGCCATATTCACTATTTTCCGATTCCGTCTCCCATGAATCTTCAGAGTCTTGAGTCCACGCTTCCGCAGCGCCGTCGTATTGACCAACCTCGAAAAGATCTTGAGGCCAACACATACTGATATGGCCGTCAACCCACCAAACTTTAACACGTCCATCAACAAAATTATCAATAATTTGACCAGCCGTACACTTGGCATCTTCACCAACAAAATTGGCAACGCGGATAACCATAGTTCCAGGACGGTATTGAAAGTCAGGGTGATCTTTTAGATCGTAAACGCTAACTTCAGAGTCACCTTTATAAGTTGGCCTAAATGAGAGTATTAGAATGGCACAATGTACATGCTTTTCATAATTTACATAAAGAATGTTCGATTCCATTTAAACGTACACGTACGTAGGTAAATTTAAACTTACTGTGGTTCATCCGTTGAAGTGTAAGTGGTAAACCATTTTACATGCGCTATCCTTCCGATATGGTCAACAGTTTGTATCACACCGTAATCGCGATAATTTACGTTAGCGTCCTCTTTTCCAGATATAACAAAGTCCCCAGGAAAGAATTCCTGCAATAATATACTCTGTGAATATAGTCAGAATAACAAGAACGCATAACATGGAAAACGTACGTGTGTATCCAAATGATGTATGGGGTATAACTCCGTAGATGGTATATTATGCTCTGTCGTACCGTCTTGCCAAACAACGGTTGCAGTACTGTAAACGAGAAGTAATTCAGTAACAAGCTCATCGCCTTCTTTTGGCTTAAATTCAGTTAAGGTTTCATGTGAAAAAGGTTTACGAAAACTCTTTCGAGCTTGCTTCTTAAGTTGCTGACTGCTATAATGTTTTGGACTATTGTGCGGCGACGAGCTTGAGCAAGTTGAAGTGGGTTTCGCCGCGCTGTCCTCGCTCAAAAGTTGAGCGTTATCAGTAGGCGTCTTTCCTTCATCATTGGGGGAGTTTCTGGACAGCGGTTCGTCTGCTGCTTCTTCATTGAACATCTTCGTACACCAAAGATTACTTTTACTAAAAGAACTGGTAACTATTTGTTCTAATTTAGTCTTGCTGCTGTCTGCTTTTTGTATGGACTCATCGCTACAATTGTTTTTGTCCATTAAGACATATTCGTCTTCAGATATCCACTCATCATCATCATTCTCATCTTGGTCACGACTTACTTTAGCCTTTTTATGTACTTTTTCTTTGTGCTTGGAACTAAGCTTTTTAAACTTGCAGGACGATCTATCACTATCTAAATAGAGAGCAACTTTTTTCTTTGATTTTTCATAGTGATGCGGGGTACTCGTATTTTGAGTTGTGCTGTGCCCACAAGTGGCAAAATTTTCTGACTGCATGGCGTCGTTACTACGCCTTTCATTTCTTTGCTGCCTTAAAATCGTTTTGAATTTTTGTGACTGTTCCTTATACCATTCAGATTTTTTGATAAGCGTATCACCTGACGAATATGTAAGATAACTACGATCGTTGATTTGAAGCATGCAAGCTTCAAATAAATTCAAACGTTTCAAACGTTTTAGATTATCTCCGGAAATACTAGAAGTTGGCTGCATGGTGGCAACTTGCTCCAAATCAGCTTCTTCTGAAAGCGCCCTACATTGCCAATGCACCCACACAGTGTCGGTATAAACGCTTTCAATCGTAAACTATTATTACAAATTGTTTATAGGAAAAATGAAACTAAAAGCAAACCACTGTTTATCAAAATATATAGCTTACCTTACGTGATAGAGGTTTACCCTTCTTATTTGTATGCAATGGAATATCAGGAGTTAGTATTTTAATGCTTTGTAAAGGCGGTAACGATCCAACGATTACATTACCAGGATAGAATACCTGCGCTTCGTAAGCATCACGTTGATAGCGTGAATTGACATCTTTAAAGGCATAAAAATCGTTTGAGGATATTTCTACCCGACAACCTGATGGAGTTCTGGAAAGGTTTCTCGAAAGAATGAAATTTTTTTTTCGATATTAAGGCAAGTTCCCTTTTATACCTTAAAATAGCTTTTTCTTCCACTTCTTTTGTACTGCCCACCCAAGAGTCGAGACATACGGCACTGTCACTTTGCCACGTAGAAATAAGCCTCAGTCGTTCAGCGTCGACATTTTTTATCACATATTTTGTACCAAGCACTTTCACGTCAGCCCACATGCGAATATTGCTGCAATAACCGCGTTGCGTAAATTTTCCAGGCACCATACGCCGGACAATATCTCCTGGCATCAAAGTCCGATCCGCTAAGCCAATCTGACGGACAAAGAATAGAAATCAATTAACGGAATGGAAACTTATTACAATTGAAATCAGCTGTTGCCGGGACACATTTAGCAATTAAGAAGTAATTATTGGCAAAAAAGAGAGCCTCAAGAAACAGCTGGTTTTTCTTCTTTTCGATTTTTCCAATTCCTAACTTACCGAGTTCTCTTTGACGGTCACGTCTTGTCCGTCTGGATACCAAATAACACGCAAATCACCGTTGAAAAGTGGTTCTTCGAACTCTTCATCTTCCTCATCCGAGTAGAACCCAGATGTCTCAACAACAAGACCGAATTTGACACGGCCTTTTTTATCGATTCGAAATACTTCATCCTCGTAAAAATATTGTTTATCCACTATGGTATTAGCTGATGTCACTGGTTTTCCTTGAATGTTACTGACTTTTTTTGGCGAAGCTCCCTGTACAATGTACAATATAATGTACATTATTAGCACTTTTGCATTTGGAATTGTAAACAAATTTCGGCTCGTATGGGAGTAATTAAATGAGCGAGCCAGTTACTCTCATACGAGCCGCATTCATACATACATTTCCCTTTGATTCATCAACAATGGTTTGATTTTTAGGTTGAGTATCCGACGAACCATTTTCGTTTGAACTATTATTTGTGGTTACTATTTTAGATTCTTTGAAAACGTGGTCTGTTTCCATTATAAAGTGGCTCTTGAAAAAATTACTTCAGCTATCGCGTCTAGCAATGACTTCCAATTAAATGCTTATAGTGTGTAAATTTAAAATTTTTTCAATCACATTTGAATTTTTTCCTATTTATTATATATGACAAAGAGTACAAAAAAAATTTGCTACTTTTCGTATATATTTTACTTTAATTTCGATTTTTTCTTGTTATCCCTTTTCCTTTTTTTTTTTTTAAGTTGTTGGTTTCTATAATTATTTCTTTGCCAAAGTTAACGGAATTAATTTTACGACACTCACAAATTATTAATAAATAAAGTAAAAAGCGAACTGAAACACAGAACTGCCAAATTTTAAGACTTACTTCCATATGTAAAATATTATTAGATTATTGATCATTTCGAAGATGTAAAAATGTACAAGTGGGGATTTTCAAACGAGAAACAAGAAAAAGTAGTTGTTCCAAGCCGTTACGAGATTTTAAGAATTCTCGAAAATTTTTTGTGACGCAATAAATAAAAAAATCTTTTATCCCAATCGCATGAACATACAAACATACTCGCAGAATAAATTTTTTCTACGAAAAACAAATGGACCTATCGCCATAAATTGGTGAAAAACTATGTTGAAAATATTGGGTTTTTTTTTAATTTTTTTTTTTTGTTATAGGCATGTTTATGGACCGACCAGGGCTTCGGTAGATTGATTTGTAAAATTTCGATAAAACATATCAAAATTCAAGGTTTTAGGGCATTCCAACAGCTGAGTACCATAAATATGATTGTATCAATTTTTATATTGACACACACGCTTCCAAACGAAATGCCAAATTCATTTATTCTCTTCCGATATTAATATTGATTATTTTGTGTAATATCTGAAAAATTTCGAATAGAAGAATAGCCTTCGCTTCTATTTCGTCTATAGCCTGAATAAAAAAAGAGGCAAATGAGAGAAACTTATTTTTTACGTGTACTGAAGTGCAGCCCTGTTAAGTCAGTTTCATTCTTTCAGTAATTCATTTATCTCCGCAATTGTTTTTGACTTAAAAAAGTATTTGTGGTGTTTTATTATTAGATTATTGCTTTAACTGACGCGTATTTAAATTTGTTTCCTTTGTAAATCGATGGCTTATATGCACCAATCACAAATGCCAGATCAACAGTTTCTGTGGGATGTTTTTCAAAGGTATATGTGAAAGCTTCTCGAATTTATATCTAACCAAACAAACATGCTTGTTTATCTTTCGAACGAATGCGTCATATAGGGTAGATAAAGATCGTAGCGGCTATATATCCGCGGATGAGTTACAAGTTGCTCTTTCAAATGGTACATGGAGTCCTTTCAACCCGGAAACAGTGCGTCTTATGATTGGTATGTTTGACAGGGAAAGTCGCGGCACTGTATCCTTCCAGGATTTTGGTGCACTTTGGAAATATGTAACAGATTGGCAGAATTGTTTCCGTTCGTTCGATCGTGACAATTCTGGCAACATAGACAAAGCTGAACTGAAGACAGCTCTCACCTCTTTTGGGTACAGACTATCGGACAATATAATTGATTTACTTTTGCGTAAATTTGATCGATTTGGTCGCGGCACCATACTCTTCGATGATTTCATACAATGTTGCATTGTCTTATATGTAAGCATAAATGCGATCTTAACGATATTGCTCACTTATAAGAAAATGAATTGGGTTTTTCCTTTTTCGCACAGACACTAACATCAGCATTTCGACAACACGATACCGATATGGATGGGGTAATAACAATACACTACGAACAATTTCTAAGCATGGTCTTTTCGCTGAAAATTTAAAATTAGAATGCGGTCGAGTTTTCCGCGTCAGCAGCATTATTAAACATTGCCTTAATCGGGTGCCAAATTTAAGTAGAAAGTCATTACCAATAATCCACATATGCGTGTAGAAATTATTAATGGGGGATATGATATCGCACTTTTCTATAAATCATGTAAAGTTAATATTATTTTAAATAAAAGGAGACGTTCCAAAAGTATAAATAAATTTGCAGCCTCATTTAAGATAATGTATTCAATCTATAACATAGGGGAGTTTCATGCAGAACTTTTAGCTTATATTCGTATGATGTTTTTTCAATAACAATTAAGAAATAGAGCACAATACGGAGGAGTGATAGAACGATTTTGTTGCTAGAGCGCATCTCTACTGGCGACGGCGTGTTGTGCGTTGTTTGTCAAAACGCATCTCCATTTCTTCCAGGACCTTTGGAGTATAACGTACAACTAATTTAACTGATCCTACGGCTTGTTTAAGCAATTCTACTGCCTTTTCATGATTTTCTCCTTCAACGGACTGAAAAAAATGAATTTGAAGTTTTTTATTACCCTCTTTCGACCTATAACTAACAAAATAATTATCATACCACTCCGTTAACGGAAAGAAGTTGATCACCACGCTTCAGCCCTCCATGGCGATCAGCTACACCACCAGGTATAATACGTGAAATATAAATAGGCGAATTCTGTTCTTTGCCACCCATTACATTAAAACCGAGACCTTTTTCAAAAATAAATTGCATTCGTCAACTAGTTAATATGAAAAATTCACTAATTTTACCTTCCTCAGTTTTTGGTAACTCAACAACTCTTGGATGAGCATGTCCCTCACTGGCAGCGAAAGCAGCAACTGTAGCTTTGGCTGTAGCTGAAGCTAATAAATATTAAAATTTAGTTTTTTTGAAATTGCTTTCAACAAATTTTTTATGAGGAAATGGTTAGGAAAAGTTACACGAATTCTATTCGCATTCATTTGCATTATCAACTGGTTTCTATTGACTGCTTTAAACAAACCCTTACCTCTTACATCTTGCGACCCCTGAATGTCTACCGTTTCATAGACGTGCTCGTATACTTCTCGTACCGCATTAAGAAAATCGCTTTGGAGTACTTTTTGTAAAGCGGCTAAACGGGTTGTTGGAAAATCGCCGCTAGCTTGAAGTTTTTCCAGCAACTCTATGGATCTTTTCACATCTACAAGAAAAGAGCGTTAAAAATCAATTACAATTTCGTACTGTTAGAGACTTGTACATATATCGTTTTGAATCTTTCTTGCCTCTAGCCAAAGTCAAAGTCAAAGGTTCGCAAACATCCGACATTTTCGAAATGTTCTAATAATTCTTAAGCCCTACAAATACAACTTTATTTTTAGAATCTTCCAGGCTACAATCTGTTATATATTATTATGTTGCAGCTTGTTTTAGGGCACAAGCGTAGAAATTTATATTTTATAAATAACAGCGTTGCCGTGAGCGGTAATAATTTATATAAACATATTGTAGTATTTTTTAATTGCTGGGCACATAACAGCTGACACATGAAAACTGAAATTGGGTAAAAGAGATAGATAAATATGATTTAACTGTATTCTGAATGAGACGTATCCCTAGACAATCAACTGACATTTCATAATGGTATTAATAACGACAGGAATAAAAATAAAAGCTTAGTGGCAGCATTTGCAGTATCGACAATAATATATGTATAAATAAATGGAGAGAAAATAACGAGAAGCATTTGGAAAACATTAAAGGCGAGAAAATAAATAGTTGATAAAAGGTTGCGGAAGCTTTAGTAAATTTGTCAACCACAGAAAAACATAAAATGGGTAGCATAGACAAGGCGTGTATTTCAGGATTTCTTTGTCGCTTATGTTCAGAAATGCATCGTATTGTTATTCACATATACGGGGATCAAGGACAGCGCCTTTGTCTGGTGGAGAAAATAAACGGCTACTTGCCAATTACGGTAATTTGTTAGAGTTAAGATTTTGTGTATGGAATATTAAAAGTCCTCTTGTGATTCGGGTTTTGAAGATTTCACCAACAGATCCCCTACCTAAAACCATATGCACTACATGTCTTCGCCGCGTAGAGCAGCATTACGATCTTCTAATGCGTTTGTCAAGAATTAAACAGGAACGTGTTTTGCGCGATAAAAGGTACAAGGTCTGCATCTGTCTTATCAATACTTAACAGTGCTGTATGCTCTTATGCGCTTTTGCATTGTTTTAATTAGGATCCTCAACGCGTATTGTTTCTAGATGTATCGAGTATCGAGAATTCAGAAGACGAAATCAGCCTAACCGACGATGAAACACGCTCGCGCCGGCTGACGGAACAGAATCGCGCACTTTATCATACAACTTTATCTACGTCAAGATCTGTTGCAGCAACAGCCGCAGAAGGTAACGAAGAAAGCGACATAGTCGCCAGTACCAGTGCGAGAGCTTTGGCCATAGATCGAAGCAGTGCTGAAGGTGCTTTGCAGCACAATGACTGATGTTCTTCTAATTAGGTTTATTAATTCACAAATGATGTTAAATTAAATTTTAAAAATTAACAATAATAAAAAAATAGTATACTTACCCACATTGTTTGAAATTGTATCGCAAATACTTCGTTTTTGCTTTTACAATTTATTTGGCAAATCGGTTGCCATTATAAAAAGTGCTTACAAATTGTGGAATGTGAAAGAAGCGTATATAAATAAATAAATTAAGCTGATCCAATAAATTCCTTTGGGAAAACTTTGTTGGCAACCAATAAGACATCTTTCCATATCTTACCACAGTTCGTTTTTAGAATAACAGAATCTTGCAAAGCTTCGCGAAGTGGGACTAAGAATTCATTGTATTCATTTTGACCAAGTTGATAACTTTCCACCGCTTCATAAATGGTGCGGAATAACGGCTGCTTGTTTGAATGAAAATAACCACGATTTCCGTGAATAACTTTAATTCCTTCCACCGAAACGTTACAAATATTCATGTACATACAATGATCAGGACGATAATTATACTCACAAGGCATTAGGTATAGTTTCTCTGCAAAACCAATATTACAATATTTACTTTATTTTCGGAGAAATTGTTTTAATATTTACCAGAGTGATAGTAAAATAGAATATTTATTATGTCTTGGTCACCCCAAGTAAGACGCAACTTGTATTCCTTATATATTGGCAATACCTTTTCTTCCCATTTAAATTCGCGCATACGTGTAAGATTCATTAACATTACCCCAGAATTTACGCCCAGCGGCCCATAAAACGGATGGCGAGCAAATCTATTATACCAACCAACATTTGCATCTTCGTGTTCTGGTGAAACACCTGCTATTTGAGTTCCATTAAAACTTTTGAAAAATTTCCATATATCTGCCACCGGTGATAAAAATAGTATGTCAGTATCCACGTAGAGTGCCGCGTCAACTGTTTCTAAAATAGACTGCAATATAGAGAAATATTATTCTCGAAATGTACATAAAAATTTTAAATCATCGTCTACCGGTAAGAACAAACGTTGGGCGGCACACGGCTTAAAAAGATTGCGCCATTCTCTTTCACTATTAAGGGGAAATTGCAATGGTAACAATCTAAAATCGAATTCTGGACGAATAGCGCGCCAATCGTTTAACTTTTCATTAAAACTGATCGTAAGACGTTCTTCCGCAAAGATTAGAAAATACAGTTTTTCTCTTGAGGAATTAAATAAGAGAGCGGATTTAATCATTACCAATACTTCTTGCATTCTTTGCCCACAAACTACTACGGCCACGTACAATGGCTGTGATTCCGTTGATGTACTGATAATAAAGAGAAGCATTTTTAACTTTTGTTGATTTTATTTAATTTGAATTTTGCTTACAAGATCGATTTATTGAATGTATCTCCATTTCCACGTTCTAGGATCTGGTGTAATAAATATAATAGAACTGTTGTTGTAAGTATACTCAGAACAACAACAAATCTCCGGAATCGCATCTCATCTAATCGATATAATTGATGTGCTACTCATTACTATTCAATTTGGTGTGTGCTGGAAAGTTTAATTTACTGTAAATTCGAACGAAATCTACTATTTAAAAAACTTAGTTCTCAGTTCTCATTCCTGTTGATTTTGTTTCTTTCAGTTTTTTTCTCTATTTATTGTTTACAGTATTGCCATTCATTTGTTACGAATAAGATCGAAAATAAGTCAGCAATTTCATCACCACTCTTGTTTCTATTAATTTATTTTTTTTCAAACAGATTCAATTTTTTTTTTAAATTTATTTAATTATTCATCCCTTAGAGCTAGAGATTGATAGCGTGACGCGTTAAAAATCCGATGTCTTTAATCGGATTTCTACTCAGCATTTAAGCGTTCTTGATAATTGCGATGTAAACTCGGATATAATCAGTATATAATCACTATTGAGTAAGCGGTTTATTTTGGATCCACCCGTGCGATTCATTTAAGAAAACAAAAAAAGAGTTTCAGTAATATTTTTGGGAATTTTGATTTTTTTAACAATATCTTTAAAACAATACGAGGTATTATTGGTAAGTTAACTTAAACCTTATTTTTAACAAACAATTGATTCTTCTTTTTTGATCCAAACTTGATACTTTCATTCAAATATTCGCCAATCACAAAATAATCAATATTTTTAAATTCGTATATATACTTCATTAGCTCCAAACGTTTAGGTTAAAGGATTTCTTTAGCCTTAAATTTACGTTACCTAGGCAGTGTGTGTATGTCGTAGAGCATTCCTAATGGAATATGCCCTGCGAGAAGTAGGTCCTCACATAGATAGTAGCAGACAGATAATAACAAAATGGAAAATTCTTTGCCAATTGTGGACTAAGCTAAAAGTAAATTTAAGTGATTTTCTTTGGAGAAACGGCAAAAATTTATGGCCGACTTTATTGTTACGCCTACACTGCTTGTTGTACGAGGGTATATTAAGTTTTTTCGGATACATGGAACAGAAGTACGTGAGGCGGCAACCTATTATCCCGATTGGTTCAGAAGCACAGTCTGACCTATCGAGCTAAGCCTGTCTGCCCTTCTGTTTAACTTGTTTTCTTGTGTTTAATTTACAAGCAGCAATTTTGATAAAATTTGGTAAACTAACGTGTCTTGGCCGAGAACGAACGCTATTGTAAATGTTTCGAATCGGACAACTTTTTCAACAATTTCTCATATAAAGCGTTAATTTGAAAAGTCGATATCAATGTAGGATGATGTGAGTATATAATGGTAGGCCTTGGCAAGCCTTAGCGTTTTTACTTGTTTTGGCATGTGGTCGTAATATTATCGAAGAGAGGAAGGGATCCGTTCAGGGGATTCATTTTAATTAGTTCGAACATTCTGTGCGTTACAAACTAGTCTATGGCGTGGAGGGTTAATGCAACAAAATGTCTAGGCAACTTAGGCAACTAAAAACATAATAAAATTAGCACTATCATACGCCATATTCCAATAAATTGCCATCAAGGAAACGAATACAGTCATATCATTCTTAACAACACATTTTAATAAATAATACAAGCAAATAAATATAAGCTATTTCATTTACAAAAACAACCTTACGTTAAATCTTCTTAAAATATTTTTATAGATCTTATGGCAAAATCATGTGCTTCTTCGATGCGCTTTCTTAACAAATCTGAAAGTTAAGAAAACTTGAAATGCAGAAATCAATAAAGATGAGATCATACGTTAACTACCTCGTTCAGTTTCCACTTGTTTGCTTTCCATAGTCTCCTCTTCCGTTGACATATCTTCTTTGAACATGTCTTTTAGTTTTGGCAGAAATAGAAGAAGACAAATTAGTCCAATAAATTTAATAATTTTTTTGAAAATTAAAAGCTTTAGAAGAATCTTGCCAATCGTGAAGAGATTCAATTTTGTTTTCAATTTTGCTAGGAGAGCGTAATGGTCGCGGGAATCGGAGGGAAACGGCATTGGTTTGTAGTAAAGGGGCGGCGGTGGCCCATAGCTTGGCTGTGGTGGTCCGTAGTTAGGATGAGGGGGGCCATAACTAGAAGGAGGCGGTCCATAATTAAGATGTGGCGGCCCATACGAGGGCGATGGAGGACCATAATCAGGGGCTGGTGGCCCAAAAGCCGGGGCAGATGTAGAGGGCGGCAAGTAGTTGTTGTTAGGCGGCTGTGAATAACTATATCCCCCTAAGTCAGTACCGCTAGTATCTGAAATTCATTTAAATAATTTATTAAGCAACTAGCACAGATTTTATATATTTCATTCGACGGATTTCACTTCATAAAAAGCACATACTATGTGCTTGGCATTTAAATATTTAAATACAATTTAAATAAAATATAGTTAATTTCACTTTTTCAAATTTATTATAATCAAGAAATTTTTTTCCAATCTCTTATAATATCATTTCACACACCCGGTTCTGATATATGGGAGTTTTGTAAAGCATTTACGTATGTGTCCTGAGAGTAGGATGCGTCACTTTGAACCGAACTAAAGAAAACCGCGCAACATAAAAAGAAAATGAGAACTTTTTCTGACATGTTTATGACCGCCTTAATCTTCATGTACGCGTCTTAAAAATAAATCGACTGCAATCGTTCGTATTCAAAGTGCTTCTATATGAAAGTTTTTCTCTTCTTGTCTATTTACTGTTGTGGCTTTGGACTTGCAAGCCAATAATTTTCATTCACTTGCGCGTAACCGAATTCCAATTTCTTTAAACGTCAGCCTATAACGGGTCACGTATTAAAATTCAAAAATACTTGCTCGGTGACAAAAGCGATATTACAATGCAGTAGACTTAAAAATTTATACGTGCTTCCAATACGTTATATGTATTAAATAACGCTTCTTTTGGATTTTATAAACATTTAAACTGCGACGTGTGTGCGTGTTTGTGTGTGTGTATTGGTTACACTTTCGATATAATTGATATTTGTCTTTGTCATGATTGGGGTGTTCATAATGCAACAAAATGCTTCCGGTGATCCCTGTTTCTTAGCAGATCAGCTTAAATAAAATAATTATAGGACGTAATTGCAAGATTTGTGACTCTATGTGACTGAATGATACTTTTCTAAAACTTAAGTTTTTTCACGAAGCTAGAATTTATTCGTCGAAAATACTATGAAAATATTGCGCTTTACATAGTGCACACACATATATTAATTTTAATGTTTTAGCGAAGAACTAGTTGATTACGTCATTGAAGTCATCTACATTGTGGTTTCGCTTTTATACCTTTTTTTCACTCTAGGTAGTTTGTCCTTGTTCTTCCGTTATACTAGCAATGTTTATAGTCTAACAAGCTTTTTAGCAAGGATACGCCATTATCGGTGAGTAATGAGACGGAATATATAGGTTATATAATGTAAGAATAAATTAAAAGGCATATATGCATAGTGATCTATCAAACATTGGGCATTTAAAGCGACAAGGCCTCTTGCTATCTGCAACTCAGAGAGAATGTTTGAATACGTTTGTTTACAATTCTTAATAATTTGAATTTTAGCGTTGTAATAAGACCAGGACCTGAACTACATTAGCAGGTATTTCTTTAATTCTAACCCGGGAATCATAGGCTACAGGTGAGAAGCATGTATATGTATATATATAAATATATTGTGTGATATATTTTTAAATAAATTAAAAGGAGTGCACAAATATCTATAACGATATGAGCGATGGACATTACTTCTTTTATTTATACATATGTCAATGATTCAAGAGTGTTTGTTTTTATACTACTTTACCTTTATTCGTTTATTAAGCAAGGCACGTTCTCACTTTCGATTGTAACACATATATTTCTTATGGGTTTGTGCAAAGGAATATTGTCGATAGAAAGAAAGAAAAAAGAAATTTTCCATTTAAAAATATATTCGTGTGAAGTTTTCATTTATTGTTCATTGTGCCTTTTAAGCGATTAATAATAATAATAATAATAATAATAATAATTTTCTTATATGCTTTTATTAAGTTTTCGTGATATTAAATTACCTTAATTTATGTGCACTTATTTACATATATATGTTAGATTATATTCAAATACTTTCAGGAAAAGAAACACAAGAAACAGCGTATCATTGTTCTAAGCAAATACAACCTTTTTGATATTCCTAATTAATTCTCATGAATACGATTTATTTTTTAATTTTTTCAAAAAGTCCTTGGCTTGTTTATCTCCCTGGCGATATTCTAAGGCGCGAATCGTTTCTGAGGCTGTGATGATTGAAATATTATGAAAAGTTTGAAATTAGTCCCCGAGCATTATGTTAAATACCTGTGTACTCCGGCCGAGATAATTCCATATGAATTTGGTCATTTTCATTCGCTAAAAGATCAGCAAATGTTATATAGCACTCGGCAATATATTGATTCGTCATCCCAAAGTAGTCTTTATCTTTTATACTAAACAATATCAGACTATTTTGTTTCTCTTGTTGATCCTGAGTTAATTTTCTAAAAATCAAGGAATCAAAGGTGGGAATGTTAACGAATTTTATGAATTAGTTGATTAAGCATACATTGTGAATTGTTCATCGTAAAGGGGAAAACGTGTTTTACTTTGAACGGCAGTCTTTACAGCAGATACCCCTAGGAAACGGTTACTTGGTAGAAAGTGTGCCTTAACAAACGAATCGCAAGATCCATTTGTGTCCATGGGTACCAAATTGCGCGCATTCATAATTTCCAGCTACAGAGAAATGCGGGGAAACTTTAAAACATTGGTTTTTGTGAAAATACAAATTTACCTTCAAATCAGTCTCATTAAAGTTGGCTCGTATTGTCAGTTGCCCATATTCTGATTTGTTAATCTCTTTTTGATGGCCAAGTCTCTCTAAGTAATACTGATGAATTAAATCGGCCGTTTCAAAAGCGTGTAAATCCAAAATGCGTTCAATTTCAGTTAATACTTCTATATCGGACGTAACCATATTACCGGTTTTGAAGCACGATATCATCACATGAAGTGTTTGACGTAAATTTTGGAAAAATGCGGGAGGTCGACGCTTCTATAGTAAAAATAGTATAGCATCATATATAGTATATAGTATAAAGTACACTTTTTATATATAAATTTTGTGCGTACATCCAAATTGGATTGTATTAAATCATACATAATGACTGAGAGCTCCGCCCATATCGCATCCAAAATGCGAGCAAAATTGACTTCGTTCAAAGTATTGTATAACGTTCTTAACGAATTTTCCAAGTACATCATGAGCCTTTCCATGGAATTGGAATCTTCATGTAGTACCTCAGCGCCTTCAGCCAAAAATCGTCTGATGGGTGGCGCCATTTTCCTGGCCACAATCTCCAATAACTCCAGTATCTGATTTCTTTCCGTATCTAAAGCATTCTCAATGACATTTCTGATGGTAATCTCGCAACGCTCGGCTTCCAAGTTGCTACGAAATTCCCCCAAACGTTTAATAACGTCGTCAGTGCCTAATTCCTAAAGAATGTTTTCCTATGTCATTAGAAAATATGTTTTCTTATCAAAATTCGGTTAAAAATCAGACCTTTATGAAAGCTGGCAAACTTTGGCGTATATAATCAATGTTGTTGATAGCCAAGCACCATTCAGTCGTGACGTGAAATAGCTCGCTTTCGTCTTTTGTTAGATCTTCTACACGACGTGACATTCTTTGGGCATAGAATACGCAACAGCGACAAATATCCTAGATGTAAAGAGTGCATATATATAATTTCAAGCATTCATTCTAACAGATTCCGCCTACGTACATCCACAATTTTCGCTACAAATGTGTATGAACCCTCAGCATCGGGCCAATCTAACTGTTGCCAAAAAATTTTTATTTGATAAAATATTGCCAACGTATCGACAGCGGATGAGCTATATTTAACAGTTTCATCTACGGCTACCAGTTTATCCAGTTCGATGGCTTTTTCGATACGATTCAACGCCTTAACGACTGATATATCCAGCCAATGCGTCACCCCGGTCATAAACCATGTGTGAAAATTCTCCATAGCCAATTCTTCGTTCGGACATAGGGACTTTCCTGAAAATAAGTATAAAAAAAAAATGCGATGAGGTGAATACGGTGGACGCAAACAAAAAAAAATATATATACCTAATGTCAGGAAGCGCTTCAAAACTAGATATAATTCAAACAGAGTCGTGCCCATATTTATTTCGCTTAGATCCGGCAAAGCTTCGTTTTGTTCGTCCGGTATATGTAAACGCTTTATATTGCCGCAAACTTCACTTACAATCGATTTCACTATTTCGACCAGTTTCTTATCATAGTATTTTAAAAGAACGGCTGAGAAATTTAAACGCATTTTGCTTTTTAAATTCAAAAAAACAAGAAATTAACCTCGACGCCCCAGGAAACATTTGGATAACACTTACTGGTAAAAATGTTTATCGAAATACTCCATTGCTCTTTGCAAATCCGAACGTGTCATTTGTATTAGTTTAATCAAGTATTGAAGATTTTCGTCGTCTGATTGCTCGCCATTTGGTTGGCGATTACCTTCAATAATATGCTCCAACCATTCTTTTGTACCGGCATGAATCGCATCTTCTATAGCTCTATCTATGTTGTATTCTGAGTCCTCTGCTCTGTTAATCCAACCATATATATTAGGAGGAAATAAATCAATACTCTCCGGAGGCGGCAAAGTATTAACTTTGGCGAAAATATCTAATACGTCGCAAAGAGTTTTTACGATTTGCTTGTCGCTTACATTCTTAGCGCGCAATTTTCTTAAAACCGAGAAACATGAGGGTAAAATTCGTTTAGCACCATCCCAAAATGTCTTCATGTCGTCCGATTCGTTCAGGTGGCATTTTAGTACCGGCGTAATCACATCGAGTATAGAGTTGAACAACGAAAAGCTTAAGGGATGTTCTTCATGTATACTCGCGTAGACAGACCACTGGCTGAGAGCGCAATCAAAACTCGAAAGGCCCGATTGAACGGCATGTTGGGAGCGAATCGTCTCGCCATTTGCACTAAACTTGCCATTCCACCAAAAATTGGCTACCTGCGACGATTCCAGCTCGTGCAACAAGAGCAACTTAAGTAAATGTCTATGTTCTTGAACGGCAACATGTTTATTCTTTTCTGCACTCAAAGCCAAATTAATCAGAATACTGCCACGACTTTTCGTTTTGTTACCCTTTTCCAAATTGTACCAAATAGTGCAACCAGAAACTGGAATAGACTAAGCAAGATAAAATCAGTACAAAAGTGAGTCGCCGCGTTGTACAATTCGACGTTTACCTTAAGTGTTATTGCCGTTCTTCCTATCAATTCGTTGTCATGCTTACCGGTGGAAGCTGTCATTGCTATTTCTTTCATCAATTTACGCAAACCTTTTACACCTAAAATAATATTTATGTTATTTAGACAAATATTTGGGCTTGAATTGTAAATTAATTCTCCCACCTTTGACATCCAAGAGTTTATTAACCTTTTCCTTAACGGTTTCTGCCGCGTCAAAGTCCCTAAGGGGCATAACAAATTGAGCAATGGTAAATAGAGCATATTAAAATTTGTACTTACCACACTTCTAAGATAAGCACTTCTTTACGCGGGTTATCTATTACTGGCCTGCGGATAACGAAAAAGAATAATTTATGAAATTATTTTTCAAAGATCTCTCTCAAAGCAAGATGTTTAGCGAGAACGTACAGTGAGAAATGCTCTTCCCAAACGGGGTTCAATGTTTCAGTTTTTACTGACGAATTATAGCGATGCGAACCATTCGATTCCAAGTAGAGTGTGACAAATGGATCGGAAAATCCGTTACTGTCCTTTGGCATTAAATTTTCAGCTTTAATTATTTCAACATTTAATCGTACATTTGGTGGTTCCTTTTGCTCAGCCATTTTCAGAATATCCTCATGCCGTTCATTCGATATTTTAAATGCCTCCTGAGCAAATTCAATAAGTGACTCTCGGCAAACATCGCTTGATTCGCAACCTATGTTATTCGCAATTTCGTAGAGTATCTCTTCATAAAGATCTTCGATCTGTGAAATATCAAAAATGAAAAAATACAAAATAATCTCAACAAAATAGTTTACAAATTTATTGAGTCCAACATATCGATATACACTATCTACATATATTTTGTACATTTTCACTTCTATAAACAATTGAATGATGATATATGTCCATTAGTGTTTCTACAATAATATGCATAAATATGTATATATATATCTGTATATATTTGAATATATGTATATATATATATGCACGTCTTCATCACACGTTGTTCAAGTTAATTACAATATTTCTACGATTCGCTTATGTATTGTTCTTTCAACAAATTTGTACACAATTGATCGCGTAAAAGAATAATAACGAACTATTAGCATAAGTAAATCAAAACAAAAGAGGTTGTCTTTATTACATACGCACATAGAACACGCGGGCTTACGTATTCACGGAGATAATTTAAAAGAAAAATGCAAAGTAGATAGTCGCGAAGAATAATTGAGCGAAATTCGCTACATTACATTAAAGCTGCAATTAGTGGCCATCTCGGATAAGAAGTTTTACAACAAGTTTTGAAACAAAGGACGAAAGTTCACTTGATAATACTTACGAAACTAAAATTATGAGAAGTATACATGTATCTAGTGAAAAGGGGCGTAACTAATATCTCTACGATCTATAAATTGACATATGTGCTACTCATTGTTTTTTTGTTGTTGTGAATGTTACTACTTTGGTTTTCTCATGCGGCATACTCCATGATTCCCAAATTCCCTTTGTAATCATTGCAATTTTGCCATTCTCCTCTAGGATTAAAAACAAGCTCGCGTTGGAAGTCTTCGTCATTGTTTGAGATATGTATCGTGTATATAGAGTAGGGTAAGAGTAAGAGAGAGAGAGAGAGAAATTGTTCGAATCATGTATAAAAGACTTATGTAATCACCATAACGAGTATTTGTGGCTTGCAAAATCGTAAAATAAGGCCATGAATGGCCCCCTAACTCCTCATATCCTTGATTATCGTGAAGGTCTGAATCGATTTACTCATGTCCGTCTTTTTGTGCCTGCCTTGATATATCAAATTATATCCAAATCGATCAAAACGTAAATAGGGTTCCTCTCTTGTCTTTCTGGTAATTCGACAATAGCCAAGGGAAACGCGCCTTTACACCTCACTGCCTGCCAAAGAACGTAGAACAATAATAATCTAAAAAAAATGTTGATATTGCGTATCATTCCATGCATTATTTATTATATGACTTTTTTTGACATTAATTTCTGGGAATCTTCACCAAATTGGACGACCGCAGTGTAGTAATTTTCAACTTTGTTAACATAATACACACAGTGTGGCACACTAAACAGAAGCTAAACTAATTTGGAATTTGGTTAGCGGTGAACGAACTTTAAAGATTAAAGCAAGCAAACCTTTTCTATTTGCCAAGTTACTCACAGTCATTGAATGGCAAACAGTTTCCGCATGCTTCTCTATTAAGTGCTTGTGCACGCCCCGAAAGTGATTGGTTGATATACTACCGTTACGGTTTAAAATCCTTCTTCTGGACGGCGCTTGCAATGATAGCGTGGAAGCACTCTTTTTGTTGTCTCCATGAGTACGGCGACTATTCGGGCTTGAATAATATGAATTTGAATTTTTCGCATTTTCACCATAAATCGTTCGAGGGAGCGAGAGAAAACTCATTTTTATTAACGTCGGAAGCCGCGAAAAAATGTTTGTTTCTCTAGTGCTCGCACACATGCATATAAATAAGAAATAATATATATGTACTTACATAGCTATATAAATACATTTATATAGCTATATATATAAACTGATTATATTATATATAGAAATGATCACTGAACCACTTCATTCAATTCGTGAAAACAAGTTACGTGAACCATTAAGATGAGCAAAAATTCAGATTAAAAGAAAAAAACACTTTGCAAACCAATATTCCAAGTCCATTAAAAATATTTGCATATAGCACACATTGCAGGACAACGTAATTTCCAACTTCGATCACTATATGGGTATATACGCATGTTTGTTTATTTGTGCAGAGAGCGTTAATGTCGAGAAGCCATTGCACTATTGTTCACTTTTTTTTTAAAGAAATTAATAATTTTGTAGTGCGTTTGGCATTGACCGAAGGAGAGCGAATGACCACGACACATGTAGTGCTGGGCACTTACGGGCGATTATTCCGATTAAAACTGCGTTGACGTTGACCGTGAGCTGATTTTTACGTTTTTGAATATAAAAATTTTCAATATTTGTTTTCTTCGTAATCAACACAGCGCCGCTCGCACGTTTGCTCACGAGATAACTGCAAGTTCTTCGATTCAAAGAACTTTCCGTTCATTTATTGTTCTCTTATTTAAAATTTTCTTTTCGCTTCTAATTTTAGAAGAATTTCTTATAAAAGCTCAATTTGTTAATGAATTCACTTTTTTTTTAAAAGAATTGAATAAAAAACAATATTAATAGGAAAGCTATCGTGTAGCGAATTTTGATTACCCACCCTTTTAAGCAGTTTTCGTTCCAATTGTTAATTCGACATCAGCATATATATCGGTTGATATCTATTCTGCTTTTAATTGGATCTAATAAATATTAATGCTAACTTTTGCATTCGCTCGAAGTGAGTGGCATATTAAATTCATTCTATTTCAATTTAAGGGTAAGCTATACAAGCACAAACAGTACACAGTCATAAATCTCTTGAGACCTTATTACCTATTATACGCACATAAGTAATATTTTACGTCAGTTACAAAGAGAATCTCAAAATTGCCATGCTAGCATTCTGCAGTGGTAAATATAAAAGCTGATGCACAATTTCACTACATACGTTCATGTGCTTGTGAGTGCTGTTGTAATGTAACACGTAAAGTTCAGTTCACTGGCCGAAAAATTGAAATTGAAAGTGTATTAATGATTGATAAATGCAAATTTATCAAGTTAGACGACACACGCCCATATCACCCCGATCTTTCGTCTATCTGTAGTCGAAATTAGAGACTCTGTGCTCGTACAGCTACGATAAAAACATTACACTGTTTATTATGGGGAAAAACGCTGAGATCGACAATCTGACTTTCACCTCTAGACACACTTCTGCGAGACACATATGCGTCCTCATATGAGTTCATTCCGACATCGATAGGAGATGAACTAGAATTTGCGCCTCTACATAATAAAATATATTATGTTGTATTAACATGGACTTAAATTTGAAACTTCGTCTTGCCGTCCAACTTCATGTGCGCCTCCAATTGCTACCGCCTGATATACAATGTAGTACTAGCAGCGTATAGGAGGATTGATTGATTTTTGATAAACACATCTATATTCCACTTTGAAATCCCCAAAGTTGAAATGTAACCTATTTCTTTCTTAAAGATAACAGACAAAAGGACAAAATCTTTCCCTGGATAGTGACCGCATCATATTTTCTGTTCAATAGTTGGGATTATTCGACATAAAGAACAAAATTAAATTCTTGCGCTTATGTGATTCGACATTTATTCATATATTTAATCACTGATAGCTTCGCCAATTTTGAGAGCCAATTCTCAAGTCCTTGTATCATGACATTTTAATTTCATTTTTCAATTTACTTGTAAAGATTTGAAAGAATCAATTATTGCTCCCACTTGATAATCTGATAATCAAGATTTAGCCGTTATTGTCTGCCTGTTTCATAATTCCCAAATTAGCAAAAGGGCTGGGCGAGACCACAACGACAAAGTCGAACGAAATATCTCGTTCAGTGCGAAAGTTTGCGACGATTTCTCATTGGAGAATTTTGTTTAGATTAAAAAACTTTTATGAGATATGATAATAATCGAAACATTGACTATCTGCATTTATTCGGATTTAAGCCAAATATCGATTAGTTACGTGTAAAAAAAGTAAATTAGTAAATGAAGATTTACGTATTAGTCAACCTATTTATGCGATAGATAAGCAGTAAAGAAATATTGCCTAAAACTTACACCTATGTCAAGAGATTTCATAGTGAATTCTTGTTTTCGTATTTTGATCACTTCTGCGATCATTCGAAGCGATTGTTCTTCATTTCTCGTAGGCCCTTCAGCATTCACAATTTCCCACTCGTCATTGGATTCACTTTCCGACTCCTCAGCAAATGGGGTCGAATCGATTTTCAAGAAATCTTCTTTGCAATGAAGTTTCTGCCGCCATTTTGAAGAAAGCAAGAAAGTGTGGATATTATCCGAAATAAAATAGTTTAATGCAGATCACGGAGATCAGATTTTTCATCCGAACGAAAAAAACACATTTTACTTTTGCCTAATGCAATAGGACAAAACCAATTGAAAAACGCATCGTATTTGCATATGTGTCGATTTCAGAAACCATCTGCTGCAGAGCACTTGACTTTCGCTTTCATTTAAAACGTTTGATTTCGTTTCTGACTTATGCATTTTGAAGATTTTCAAAAATGAATATTAGAATGTTGAACATTGGGAAAACTTACGTTCATTCCAACGGATTTCTCGAAGAACTCTTCTTTCCTCTCCTTAACCTCTTCTATACTCAAATCTCGCTTCAGCTCTAAAGATTGCACCGCAGCGCAATCCAACTCCTCCCTGCTGCTGGTGGGGGACTCTTCTTCTTTGATAACTTGCCATTCCTCATGAGCTTCAGTTTCGTTTTCCGATTCTACGGCGAACGGTGCCAAGTTTGTTTTCAAAGAGTTTTCTTCGATATGAGATTTCTGGCGCAACAATGATCCAAACTTTTCAAAAAATCCACCGTCTTCATCCTGGAGCCTGCAAAAATGTTGCACACATAAAAGACTTGATTAAAGATGCAAATACATTTAACATTTCTTTACGGACATTACAACGTAAGCTCTTTTCAACGCATATTTAACAATAAAACGCTCCCAGTCACAAATAAAACCAAGCTGCAAAATTGCGTATCCCTCTAAAAAGAGTGCTTTTATCGCTTAAGTTATCATTACGTAGTATCACTACGGAATTCAAGCACCCAACCGCTGGCTTTTGAACTTAATTGGAAATGTGTGGGAGAAGATAAAGCTTAAAACGTTGTGAAGGTAGGAAAATATATTTTTTATAATTTATTCGATTCATATCTGCTCATTTTAAGAACATTGGAAAAATCTGACATACCCCCTATGGTTGTGCAATTAGTATCAATTCGTTCTCTTAGGTTGGCTAACAATTCGGTGTGCACACGCATATCACATTATTAATAATAATAGTAATTATACAAAAAATTTCGTTGCCGGTCGTTACGAAGAGTCCACGCCACATTAGGGCTATGCTCGCATTTCGAAAATGTATATAAAAATAATACTAAGATTGCAGTAAGTTCGTTTCATCATCTCATTCAACATATATATGCAGATATTTTATGTGAAATTTGTTTTCGGTTTCTGGAATAGTGTTTATCGATAGATTCAAATTTTCATTGCGAAAACACTTATCAAAATATCTGGCCCTATAAAGCGTTCACAACTCCATCGCACTATCAAAAACTACACTACCAAATAATGAACTTTTACTCTTAACATTCAAATGTTTACTCCAAGCTGATCCTTCAAAAGTTTACTATTAAATTGAACTCTAGCACATGTGTTAGCGACCACTCATGTAATGCACTTTGCGATTGTTATCCACGCACATTGAATACAGTATATACGAGGCGACTACAGTTTTCTTTTTTCCTGAACTTAAAGTACACACATATATAATTCAAATCTCCAAGCACGATATACCTCTTGCGTCCACAAATGACCATTCTGCGAGTACAAGCTTGCCCAAGTTTTTTAAAACGTCTCTTAAACGTCATACTCTTCCAAAGAATATTTTATCACTTTTGTTTCACATAAATATTTTTTACAAATACATTCCAGTTCTCACATTATTCGATACATTTTAAATAACTTGTAAAAGTGGCAGTGGAAAGTTTAAATATACGAAACAAAAACCTCCCCTTTTCAGTATCGATTTTAATAGACACAAACAGACGTTAACTTAGTTATAAACAAACTGATATGAAAAAGTTTCGGTTTAAACCCAAGACCTAATGCTACACTTGAACATCATCAATTATTTTTGTATACAATGCCACCAGCGTCACACTCTGTTGGCTGCAATGGAGCCTCTACGCTTCATGGTATACGTTTGTATTATTTTATGGGGAACATAAAAACAATCATACCATCACGGTATTCTTCGTTGCATTACCGCGGCAAGATAATTTGGATAAAGAATCGTCGTCAACAGGCGTCGAGGTAAATGTAAGGGCTGAGGGTATACGGTACGAAAAATACACGTACGAAGCATATTAGTACATACATATATTAATGAAGTTTGTTAACAATAAAAAGTTCATGTTGTAACTACGCAGGCATAGGCATAACTGATAGCTGTCGCTATAGCATATATAAACCGAAATAATAATATTTTTACATATTTGAATGGTCTTTAGAGTTAGTTATTACAGGAGCGATTCTTCAGTCATCGAAGAATCAAGGCATAGTTAATTTCTTTGTTACTTTGTTAATTGGTTTCTTAACGTCCAAAGACAGGCGTAAGATCACTATTTAGCACTATCAATGTCCCCTTTCTCCTTTCTTCTTCTTGCATCAGCAAAGTATATGGGGAAAATCGAAACGTAGCCACAATGGCTGAAATGTTTGGGCAAATAGAGAAAATATAAGGCTTACTATTCTAGCAACTATAGAAAGTTAATTTGACTCTTATGTATTTTTAATGGTTATCGAGGTTTCTCCATACTGCGCTTGCTTAGCTGCGCTTGCTTGCTAAAGGATCAGAGGCATTTTCATCTACGTCTTTAGATTATTGTATCTTTCGTGTAAAAATACGATCGAAGTTCGAGGATCTTACTATAGCAAGGAGAAGAAGTATAACAACAAAATAACTGGCAATACATAACGGGTTCGATAGCTATTAAGTGAACGAAGAAACAAATGAAGGATGAAGGACATCTAAAGACATACTAAGTTCATCATGACAAATACGACAGACATATGGTTGGTTGTGCATTGTTGACCTTTGATATGAAGCAATAGTTTTCGCCAGCGTTGAGATTTCTACAAATTTCGGATATCGCCTGGAGCACGGCTTATACACAAAGCGCATGAATTCATTTGAAAATCCGTTAGCTTTCCCATTATTTGTCGCGTAATAATAAAAATATGGTCAACATTTTATTTTTCGGTTCGGTTCATTAAACACTATTTAATGAACAAATGTCGAAGGGTTATAAACAAAGTTTATGATAGAAAACGGTAGTAGTAGTTGATCTTTTGATTTTGCATATGCAGAAAGAAATGCAGCATTACTACCGTTACAATTGCGCTGATTTTGATGAGAATGCAATTGTGGTTAGAATTGTAAACGAAACAATTTTTACGTAAACTTATACGTAGAGAAAGAGTCCATCCAGGCCGTACATAAATTAGCCATTCTTAAATAGAGCAAAGATATTGAGAAAACGTACACTTTTTGAATAAATTTATTCTGCTTAGAAGCATTTGTCAATACTAAGGCGTGATCGGCTTTGGCATGTAGTCGTGCGAAAGCATACATACATGTTTGCACGTGAGCGTCGATATCGTCACGAACATTCATTTAAATAAATCACACTGGGGAATAACCAGAAAAAGCGGTAAAATCTAATTCACCGGATATGGAAGAGAGATCAATTCCACTAAGTTATGATGGTTTTTCGATAGCTTTTTTGTATGTATCAAGCCTAATTGCTGCTGACTAAGGTTTTTTGAAAAGTCAAATCCTTTTTATACGCCTACTTTGCAAATGGCAGTTTCCCAATTCTCGGAGGCATTGCCGGAATTTTAAAAGCACCACACTTCACGGTTGTTTCGAGTGAATATTGATTTAAAAATTGCAACGGAAACCATGCCTGAAAGCATAAGTTCGCAAATGTGTGCACACACGCGCAAACCAAGAAGTAGCGGAAGGCTACTAGGCATGGTCGAAGGCATGATCGTTTGCGGTGAAGTTGACATGAGCAACTTTGACTTGAAATGAACAATTTTGGCATATTTGTCTTCTCCACACCGCCTTCGGTTTGTTGCCTTGCCAGCCGCACGTTTCAATACCTATCACCTGTAGCTATTTAATTGATAGCGAGAAATTTTTGTTCCTAAATGGGAATGGTGTACCTTCAAAAAGGTTTCACTGTGCATATATGTAATAAATGTGTTTAGCTATTATTTTACTCACTCACTTACTCACAGCACCGAACACGAATTTTACTATAGACATTTAATTGTACAAAAAAACACGGACGCATGCATGTGTATAATTTCAAATAATTAGAAGAATAAACGAAATGACTTAACATAAAAGAAGCTGAGAAACGAAACGGAGACAATTTTCTTTGGGAAAAGATCTTAGGTTGAGAATACTATTTTAATTTCAGTTCATTACCTGGATTCATGCTCTGTTGGTGGATTAGTTTTCAATTCCTGCAGCTTCTCATAGAAATTCTTCCACATTTGCTCTTCGTTCATGTTGTTGTTTACAACTATTATTTAACTTTTTTAATGATTTGTCACCTGAAGGTCTCTCGAGACAAATGGAATTTTCGATTGCTTTCCGTTTCGCGCACTATTTTAGCAAGGGTAACCAGCTATGAGTCTATGAGTTGTATACTCGTGCCTTTCTTTCTTATGCTTTCGATAAAATTTGTTGAAAAGCGCAAATATTTTAGACACAACGAAACCTATTCAGAAAACGAAGCGAACTAAACTTGAGCCACCGCAAAGTTACTCTATAAAGTAAAGACTGTCGACTGTCGCATAACAGATATAAATAAAATTGTGATTAGCGTGTATAAAAGATGTTAGAGATGACGTAGTATAACTGCGGTGCATGGAGAATGAAAGTTACACACATTTCGGTGATTTTTATAATTTGATGACTACAAATACTTGCACTCTCCGCTTGCAAATGCTTTGTTTGGGTGAATTTTCTGTATGTGATAGCACTAAGTGCAATACGATGAAATAAGTGTGAATCAGGTCTTTTGAATGTTACCAAATCAGAATTCCTAGCGTTAGTATTGCTGTCTGTGTGCGTCTGGTTTATTGCAACCTCATTTGCTCTCATTTATTGCATTTTTATTTACATTCGCCAAGATTTATAAGCATCAACACAATCATTAGATTAAAGAGTTATTCGCAAACAGTGAAATCTCCATTTCGTTTGCGTTCACAAATTATTAATATATTGCGAGAACATCCCATCAATTTTTTAATCTACCTTTTTCACCCAAAATTCACAACTGCTTATTCGTACATATTCGCATATTCTATCTCTAATTAACTTCAATATCTCTTTCCGAAACTCAAATTTTTCAAAATTTCTCAAAATTTAGCACTTGATGCCAACTTACGTCATGTGGCAGATCTTCAGAGTTTTAGTGGATTCCCAATATAAGCAGATCAAAAGGGATGTGTAACAGGCAGTAGTGATTGCATAGTAAAATCATAGACATTTGAATTAATTGATAGCAACGTTAAAGAAATGGAGGTAGATGGAGTAACTTCGATGGGTAATCCGTGGCAAGTTTTATCTTTGCTGAACATGTTTTCATTGATTATTAACGATTCGTAAAATGCAATGATCTGGAATGGAATCAAAGATGTTATCGCGCGAAATTTTTCCTGTCCTCTGTCCACATTAAAGCGAATGCAGCCTTCATACACTCCCACATTTTACCCACATTTTTTTCTTCAGCAAAAATCCGATAAAATCTCGTTATGTTCTGTCGTATAAAAAAGTCGTACGTTTGCTTCCAATTGCCATTTATCCATACGAAGTTCTCTAAGAGATGTTAGCCGAAGGAAATCGTCACTTGGCCAATTTTAGATACTTTAGTAGATAGGTTTAGCATAAATGCATTGACGGAATCTTTTTGGATTTTTTGTCACCTAAAGCCGAACTTGTTTACTTTGACAACGACTTACTATTTGTAGATGAATAGAATCCTCCTAAATTATTTAAGGAAAACGTTAGACTTTCCCTCTAATATTAAATTGATGCCTAATTATCGTGATCGAAAAATATATTTAAAATCTTATAGTTCGAGTTCGAATTCCATTACTCCCAGAGCTTTATCTATTTATACATCTATGTCGATACTTTTCAATTTATGCGGGAAACGCAAAGATTTACTCTTCTTATGGCCTTGAGTAATTTGCAATATTCGCTCAACTCGTCTATTATATCGACTGCAAATATTTCAGTTATCTTAGTGCTCTTGTTCTTACCTTTCTTTTTCTATAGATATTGGAGAACACCTATCTTCAATGTTAAACAAGAGATAAAAACTAAACATGTTTGGATTGCAAATTTGAAATAACACATCTATACATACACATGTACAATTAAACGTCGTCGAGCTTTTTAGTATTGGCCATGTTTTGCAATTTATTGGTTATAAAGTAACGCGATAGTTCGCTTTCTTCGGAAATATTATTTCAACTATTTGCTCAATAAAAATGCATTTGCTGCACTTTCGAACTTTAAATTAATTCGAATTTGAGAAATAAATCTGTCAGTTATTACTTTCTAAATCCCAACAACGCACAAAATGTTATTGCTTTATCGTCAATGATATTTTCAGAAAACTAAACGATTTTTCCTTGCTTTACTGTGGCGGTGAAAGTAAAGAAAATTCATAAGAGCTCCTTGAAATTATGTTCTTAAGTTAAAATTAATAATTGGATTTTAAGAAGGTACAGAGTGAGACTAAGAAAGAGTAAGAGAGAGAGTAAGAGTAAGAGAGAGAGAGAGAGAGAGAGAGAGAGAGAGAGGGAGAGAGAGCAAAGATGGTTAGGATAAATAGGCTTGGCTGTACCTATTACTTGCCTAGAGCAGGATATCATAATACAGCCTATTTGCCACTGATCGATTTCTCACAATTATTTCACATCTTAGCAGTCTTGAAGAACGAAAGTGGTGGGTAGAGCGGTCTTATCGAAAAAAACTTTGTAAATTTGTCAAAGAAAAGATTATATGTGTCTCCTTAACGGCTTAAGGTATTGCTTTTTAATCTTATATAAATAAGACGAGGAGAAAATAATAATAATTATGTAAAAACTATTTAACCCAGATCGTATGGAAACTTCGTGTTGAATTGTTTTCTTTTTCATTAAATTTACTGTTTTTTAATATGGTATAAGATGAAAATTTACTTCATGATAATATACATACATATATCGTTTTTTAGACGTGTACATACAGAAGTAACTGTATTATGCAAATCGTTTTTTTTTTTTTTTTATTATTTTATTGTTTTTTATGATTTTTTTGTTTATTATTTTTTTAAGGTTCTATTTATTACAGTGCAACTACAAGGAATGACTTTAGCAAACCCTTGATATATGTTTTTTTTTTTTCGTTATCAATAATCTGATCATTATTTTATCAATTAAACAAATAATCTTTATGTTAATATGTAGTCTAATAAATAATTATGTAAAAATGTTTTTATTGTTAGTATTTTGTTTTGCTTTATGTTCAATTAATTCTTGTCCGTCCGTATACGTTATTTCTCTGTGAGTTTGTCAAATTGGTTTTATTGTTGTCTTTCTTAATAATCTTCAATGCAGTTATAACTAATCGCGGCATCTATAATTATTTAGTATTAATTTGCATTTGAAATTTGCTATAGTAATGTGCGACTGAGTTGTTTGACGCTCAAAATAAGACTCCCTATGTCGCATGTTATGCTGTTTGTGTTCGTGTATGCATTTAACAAATGGGATTGCTTGTTCTAACCGTTTTATCTTTCAGATGCTTATGTTAATGCTGTTTATGTTTTTGTAATTCTCGGATGTTATTATTATTATCAATACGCGTAATTTATGTTTGTTTTCGTTTCATGTTCGTTTAACGCATACATATGCAAATAGTTAAGGTTTAGTGTATGTAAATTTCCCTACGCGTATGTTTTTATCATTATCGTATATATATATATATATATATATATATATATATATACATGCAAACGCATACATATATACATATATATATATATATTAATTGATCTTTAAACTAAAATTAAGAAAAATAAAAAATTATAAAAAAGATATATTAACAGCAGCACAAATGCATTCATCGATTTGATTGCTCAATTTCACCTGGGGCGTAAGTGTAAACTGATGCATGTGTATTTGCGTTTGTATGGGTATGGGTAGGTGTGCGTGCGTGAATGTAAATGTGTTTGTATGTTTTTAGTGGTTTCGAATGTCAGTAATAACATTTGCATTTATCTCCGCTTATATCTTCCTCAATTAAATTAAAAACTTTGCCGATCGATTATACTGATCAGTAGTCAGAATCCCGGATTCGTTCCGTATTTGGATATTCGTTGTCCTAAAAGTATAATGGGAAACAACCAAAAATAGTTATTAGCAGTCTACATATTAAAAATTAAGTAACGTCAATACTTTTTGCTGTTGTATTTCTCTTGGTCCGGAGCGGAGTCGCGAAGATTGCTCATTTTTTGTTTGATGCTCTTCCGGAAAGTCACGTTCCCGATTACTATGCTTGGGTACTCCTCGATCATCCCCACGCCGATTGTAATCGTATTTAGAAACATATCTATTAGTGCCACTTCCACTGCCGCTATATTCATTGTTTTCTCTGTCAGCGTCATCTCTAAAATCAACTCGATCGTTGCCCCCACTGCCAGATCGAGGGCCTTCGAAACGCCGATGCTCATTATAAGAATTAAAATTGCCACGATGTGTATTATTGCGTTCACGAAATGATGAACCACCGCTAAAATAACGCTGACCACCTCCACTTCGGCTGTCGCGATCGCGATCGCGATCCCGATCATCAGTTTGGCGCTGATTGAAGTAACGTCCCACAGGAGGCGGACCATCGTGGCTGGTAGGTTTCTTAGATGAAACTTCTTCCTCTTGTTTCTTTTCATAGTGATAAAAGTCATCGAAAATAGACGTGGAGTGCTTATAAGAGTGCAATATTTGTAACACCTCAATACCCTTGGCATTAGGTACTTCTTGCGTGTCACGTGAATTCGTAACAGGCTTGTTCTCGTTGTTCTGCAAAGCAATATGGCGGAGTTTGTTATTGGGCACATCTTTTACATATATCCATTTAACTTTAAACTTTCCCTTCCATTTGTCTTGCGCCCACACGCTGGACGTAGAATTATAGTCTACAGCGGTCATCATTTGTGCCATGCCGCAAAAGTGACCTGAACCGTTTACGGAAAAGAACAATAAAATATTTCCACCCTCCTTGTGGCGTTCTTTGAAGGCATCGTCTAAACGTTTATTACCGTGATCGGTTGAGCACCAGATTTCATACTTTATGCTACGATGAATATCGTCTTCCGAATATGATTTTATTACGAAAAACCTGTTTTTGTTACAAGGAAAGGGATAACCTAGGATATTTTTTTTAAATATTCTGTTTTTCATACCTGGCTGTTGCAGCTTTCTCTAAATCGAGTTCAGTCGGATTATAATTGTTTTTGTCGCGTAGCTCATCCAAAACCGCTTGCGGGGATTCAACAACGCGTTCGGTACTAACTTCCCTGTTTCGGGAATTGCTATCTTCACGATGCTCAGTGGAACCGCTATCGTGATCTTGTCGTGAAGATGTATACTGACTTTTGCGTTCACCGTAACGACTTTGGCCAGAATTACTTCCGCCTCCGCTTCCTGCTGGGCCTTCACCTCTACGCACGGGGCCTGATGGCGGCGGCCCCCCAGATTGCCTCGTTCCTTGGTATAAAGGATGTTGTGTGGACCAATTTTTACGAGAGTGGCCGTTGGGGGAACCTCGTGTGCGCCCGAAATTTCCCGCATAGTTTAACTTAGCACCGTTGTCTTTAAGAACGTCTTGTCCTTTATAATGTCCACCCCTGTCGTTGCGAGCTCCTCCTATATCAAAATCACTGCCAACTCCAGGCGAGAAGTCGGAATTAATATCAGTCGAACCCAAATCAATTGGTGGCGGTGGCGACGGCACTGGAGGCGGATTATTATTAGGCAAATCCCATGTATTAACGTCCAAATTGTGCTTCCCTGGAACCATGGGCGGTGGCGGCATACCTGGACCCTTCTTTTTGTGACTGGAAGTAGTGAGCGTCGCCTAAACGAACAAAGAACATGAATGATTATATTGACATCGAAATGAAAACCTTTCATTATGGTTAGATTAATTATTCAACGACATACTCGTGAAGTAAGCTTTGCGGGTTGCGAGGCAATTGATGCCCATGTAGTCTTTTTCGGAGCAGATGCTGCTGGCGGTGCGCTCGCTTTCTTCTCTTCGGGTGCGCTATTAGTGCTAGGTCTGTTGTCCAGTTTTTCCGATGAATAATTTTCATATCGTCCATCATCGTAACGATTAGCCTAGATATAAATAAATAAATGATAACCATTCTCCAAAGTATCATTTAGTAAATATGATACTTACTCTATTAAAAATACCTGGAGCATTGTCAGAATTTATTCTACGCGTGTTGTTGGAACCCCATGCATTTAATTGGTAGTCATCTCTTTTAGAATTATTGTAGAATGCAGGTTTGTTGTATTTCTTATTATCTAAAATGTGAGAATAAATCCTTGTTAAAATCTTGCGCTTTTTTAATTATTGAAGAAGACTATTTATATCAACGCTCTGCAAAAGATTAACCAAGATATAGTTTACAACTCATCCAAGTCTTGTAACACGTTCTGGAGCGATTTTATTTCTAAACTAAAAGCAAACTGTTTAATAGTTTGAACTTTGAATCTCTAGTTATAGGTGCTAGCATGGATTTTATTTGTTGCAAAGAAACCCCACTTATTGTATTGTATTGTATAGACTGACGACAATTTTCATTTCGAAAGTGTTTGCAACGAAAGCCACAGGATACATGTATATGTATGCCAGGTGCGCTTATAATTGTATTACTTACCAAAATTAGAAGTCGGTTTACGTGGCTTGTAGTTATTCCATGATGAGTTTTGATTCTCTTTAGCATTGAAAGGTGGATATTGGAATTGTGTTGAAGTGCTTTGATTGGCAGCTGCAACAAAAAGCAATTCTGCTTATTAAATATTACAATCAGAACATTTCTTTAAAACAATTACCTGGCGAATCCTCATTAATTGGAGATGTTAAATTCTCATATGAGGTGACTTCATCCACTTGCTGACTCCATGGTATACTGCGCTCCTCGTTTTTCGCTATAATCATTTTAAGAAAAGAAAGCAAAAGTTGCTTACAAATTATTGTAGTCGTTTAGTATTTCTTTTTCCTGTATTCCATTCAATTCTGTTCGCTGTCTTTACACTATGATAATACAATTTTTTTCTAGTTTCCTTCTTATTGGCGAAATATACAATCGTTCATATTTTTTATATATATTTTTTCAATATTATTATAATTACGTCGACAGAGAATACTATCCCTCGGTAAAAGATTTTCTTTTTGCAATAATTACCTGTGTTTCCGGGTACTTTCATCTGCAATGATAAAAAATGAAATGTGAAATTATTTTTTTATATATATGATACGGCATCATAAATTCCAATGAGTAAATCAAGTCTTTTTAATTACGAAAGGCTTTATGACCGTCTTATGTGTTAAATTCACTGGCAATTACCTGATCTGACACGCCTGATGACATTTGCTGTATAATTCAGCGAACTTTGCTGTAAATGAAAACTAATTTTATAACCGCTTTGTCGTAAACTTGATCTATTCACTTTTTACCTCTTAAAAATTATTTACTAAAACAGAAACTGTCAATAAAACAAATAAAAATTTCAGCTAAAAATTATCAATAATTGATAGACTGGTGTGTGATATATTTTTTTTTCTCAAAATTCTTTCTTTTTTATGTTATATTTCTCCCCCTCCTTCAAAAGAAAGAACAACCATTTTGCTTTTCGTTTAGCGTTGCCCATATTTATTTATTTGCTCATAATTTGCTTCAATGAAATCTCCAAATGAGGATTTAAATTTTACATACGTCTGGGAAGTCTTCATAACTGGAAATATAAATAAATGCGATCTTATTGTTCTTGGAAAAGCAGTTTGTGAAAAAGAGAGGGCAATACAAAACTTTCTTTGGTTTTAAGTTTAAGTTTATAGTTCTTAAATTATTATTTATTCAAATGGTAAGCTGAAGTAATAGTAAAAAATAAATGCAATCCAAAAAACTAACCTTGGTTCCACTCTAGACTAATTAGTAATTAACCTTCGGGGTCCCTTAAAATGTGTATATCTTTTATAGCCAATAATATAGCGAGTCAGTTTCTTTCCTGATCTAGCATACATTTTGATGTGGGTTAAGCCAAAGCAAAAGTGACAATTAAATAGAATTCATCAGATAACATAGCTTAGCGACGGAGGAAACAATGTACTGCTTGTAATAAGAAATAGCACGCTAATCTAAGTATATTGCAAATCTATTACAAAACAATTAAAAATGCTGTAGGCGCGCAAAGTCACCAATAAGATTTATTCCTCCATAGCAAACTTTGGCATATTAATTCTGCCATAATGTTCTCATGACTTTTCAATACCGCTACTTTTATGCGCTTTAGATCTTGGTGGTGTTTTCTATCGCTATATAAAACGGTCAGAAAAGCACACACAAGCATTTTCAACAAATATCTTTCGTAGAAATTTAATAATATATTTTAAAAATATGACGTGATAGATGATCAAGCAATTGTACGTATTGTTATTATTATCGAGAATCGCTTTCCTTTTAGGTTTTTCGGTACCTTGCTCTCATAACGGATGGCTTGAACTCTTTCTATTAATTTGTTCACGGAAATGTTCGATCCCTTCCTGTGAATGATATTAGTATAAATATGAATTCATAATAATACTTGCCTTCCAAAAAGTGTCTGAACAGCTCATTAGCTCCTTTAAACAAACCGAAACACTTCACAATCAACACCCGAAACAACACGACATATTTTAGCAAACGGCAGCTAACATTTTTTTGACATGTCTTGTCTGTCTTATATCAATTTGATGGAAAATAAATTGAAATAAAAACTAATAATAATTGATAGAATACCTTAGTGATTTCTTTTTTAAGTGAAGAATTATATTCTTGTCTTATATTACAATCTTGTAAACTCCTTATTTTTTTAAGAACATATTTACTTCTGAATTTTTGGTAAGTGTTGCATGGGATAGCGTCTATTTCATCTAATACAACATCAATCTGCCAGGGTCTGATTAGATTGTTCTTGATATAAATGACCGTGAGGATTCTTATTTGATTAATATTGATAAAAATAAGAGATTGAGGATGGCTGGGAATGCTGTTTGATTAACTCCGTCACATTATGGTCCAATATTACTTAATAAACAGGTTGTTGATAAACCTCCAAATTTGGGTGCCAAAGGCATTGCAAAAAATGTTGATGGCAAACGCTTGAACATCTCTTCTGATCTCTTTTTATACCCCAGAAGATTTAAGATTGATGCCTTAGAAAAACTCGAAACGGTTAGCAAGGATAGAGCCAGAGTACTTTTCAGCTTTGCTCTCTGCGGTAATAATTTCATCCCATATAATTATTTAGAAACAAAAATTTTAAAACTTACATTCCGAGATTTTTTACGCAAAGATTTGGTACTATCTGCAATGTCCCTCTTGTCTACGAAGTCAATGAGATTATTAAAATTGTGGTGTCCGATATGCCCGTTAAGTCTGCCATTTGGATTCGGAGGAGGAGTCCTGACAACCGACGACCAGTCTAAAAGATAGTTTTAAAGGAAAAGCCCTCCCTAAGTCGATTAAGTTAAATTTTTGTAAGCTTCCGATTGACCTCATTGTTTCCACCTTAAAAGTTTCAATAAGGATAATTCGTAACCACCCGTTCTAATAACTAAGTGATAAACTTAAAGAGATTGCGCGTGGCATGTCCAGTCGGCGTTTCTGTAAAATAAATCTACATTATTTATTCGTGGAACTAAGTGGCTTTGTTAGAAAAGCGAAGTTTTCTTTTTAGTTCACAATAATTTTTTTTGTTTCTGCTAAAGTTGGCAACACTATTCTTACATCACTTTTAATAACTCAATAATTACACTTAAAATTACATACTCATACAGTTATATGGCCGTAGTCTTTTTGTTTTTTACAAATACTTCTTGCAAATAATTATTACTGTTTCTTATACGGATATATAAGCCACAAGTTTTATTGATTTAGTCCATCTTAACTCAACATCAACAAAAAAAAAGAAAAAGAATACACGCTCTATCAAAAAATGAACAATAATGCAAAACTGTGGAAAGAAAGCATTTTACGGAGGCCATCTTTGAGAGGTCTAAAGAAGTGTCCTTGCGGTTTTTTAAATGGTCAGCGCTCTTTAATTTGTCGCAATGTTGGTTGTGAATTGCGTCAATTAGCCTTAGAGTCTATTAAACCATTTGATCCGATTCAATTGATAACTTACAATAAGACCCAGATGTATTCGATGCGATGCAAAGAAAAATTAATTAGTTTACGCAATTTTGTTATCATTGCCGAACAATCCCTGGATTTGAAGTTACCATGTAGCGCAGTTGTGCCTTATGCAGTTTGCTACATAGACAAATGTAAATATGGTGGTAATGATTCCTCCCAACCTATTTGTAAGCATATTAACGCCTGTTCATCTCTAAACGGAAAATCGAACAAAGCTGAGGTATATCGTGTTGATAAGAGTATCTTGTGGAATTTGAATATTAATGAAGATAAGAAGAACTTATTATGGCAGCTATACGAAAGCGACGAAAAATCCATTCCGGCAGTTCAACGTGTTAATTCAAATATATTTGCTGTAAAATGTACACAATCTGATGTCTTTCCAGCAGGACGTTTGCACACAACTGTGTTCACTAATAATGTAGTCAATAAAAAGGGAACATTCCTTTGTGCTTGTAGGAAACTAAAAATCATAGTGGAATCAGACAATACTATTACTATGAAAAATGAAATTTGCGATCATCTATTGCTGCTATTGGCAGCCATACTAAGCCATTCAAGCCACAAAACATTGTTTACGGCTTTTTTGGATACACTGGAAACCTTGTGGATGCCCGTAGTTGCCAATGTCCCTTCTAGTAATATAGTAAATGGAGATTTCGGTTCAACCGACATATTGCATCAAGCTCCTATTGGCAGTGGTAAAAATCTTATTTCGGACTCTCACGAAGATGCTGACATTTTTAATTATACTGAAGACATGTTTACGGAAAGTGTAAATGTCGCAAATGGCTGCCTTTAAATTAAGGATTTTAATAATAACGTTTCGTTTTTAGGTGATACCAGATTTTGTAGATATTGCATGGGATGTGGAAAATGCTAAACAAATTCCTTTGGAATCTAATGAATTTTTAGTAGAATTTAAACCTAGCAATTTTTACATGAAGGACCCGAAATTGATATCAACCTCGGCAACTGCCAGCGATGAAGATATGGATCTCCTTCCCACTAATTCATATGTCAAGTCGCCTGTGCGACTGACACCCACCACAAACATAACTAATAATTTACGAAGCCCCGTCCAAATGCTACAATTTAATGAACCCTTAACCGACAAAATATGTTTATTAAAGGAAAGCAATTTAAGACCAGCAATCGTAGATAAAAAGCAGATTCCGCAGTTATTAAAGCCATTCGATTCAGCACCAATTTCGAAAGCATTTGTTAAGCAAATAAGTATTCCGATGAAAAAATCCACCGACAGAACATGTAATGAGACCGCGGCAAATCAGCAAACAGCAGAAATGCTTTCAATTGATCATTTAAAACAGTTTTTGTTGCATTCGAGGCCGTGTGTCAAAGAGAGTGCAGAGAAGGTGGAAATAATGGATACTACAACGAATGCTGCGCCTTCACTTTCATATACAGGATGGTTGGAACATGTTATTGAAATGTTAAACGACTCTATTGTTGTAAAAGAATCGAATAATGTTAGACATAGTTTTCATGTTCATGAGGTAACGATCCACATCGATTTTTGTAACTTTATCAAAAGTAAGATTTCCCTGTTTTCTAGGAAATGTTTGCATATTTTAGCAAAAACTTTAGTTTAAATATTAAAAAACGACGGCTACCAAACTCTACGTCCGTTATAAAGAATGGGAAATATAAAGGTTTAATTAAATACACTTGGTATTTTATGCAAAGTCCTACAGTACAAAGAATATTTTCAACAAAAAATGTGAGGATTGTAAAGTCATAAGTTCAAACCTATAGTGTGTAAAATCTGTGTAATTTTCAGTTGAAATTACAAACAGAGCGCACTTATGAATTGTTAGACGATGGTAGCTTAGCGCCTTTTAAGCTGAACACCTTAGGTCTGCCAATCACAAAAGGTCGTCTCATATGTCCGAAAGTGAAATTATACAAAGCTTTCATAAATTTTAGTACAACTACCAACAAGCACTTCTCAGCAAACAATCAAACGGTAATTGTGAATTCGTTATATATGCTGTTAAAATGATTTAATCGAATCCACGTGTTTATAAAATAATAGTCTCAAACGTCTGGTGTCAAAATAGAGTGGTTACCCATATATCCAAAAAGTCATTTTGGTCTTATGGCTGTTGAATTTTGTGTGTGCGTACAGGAAAGTCAATAGATGAGCGGCCTATTGCATGTAAACCCGTATTTTAATCTTACACAACTAAATAACGAGGTGAGCATTGCTTGAAAATTTTTTTTCTTTTCCTTACTTAACTGATGACAACAGAAGTCTTTTTGTACACACCACCGCAGGATGAAGGATATATGCATTTTGTCAAAAACTTTGCAACGCCTAGAAGAAAGCGTCAGAAGCCCCCTCACAGTGCATATATTCTTGATCACCATCAAATTTTAAATCGATTTAAGCATGTCCGTCTGTCCGTCTGTACAATGTCTGCTGTAAGCATTCTCCGGGCCGCAAAAATGGAGTTATCGACTTTAAATCCGGCCGAAACATTGTAAGTTCTTGCGTGGAAGTTGGTACTGACAATGGGCCAAATTGGTCGAAGGGCACGCCCACAGCACCACGTAGACTAAGATCACCTCTGTTTTTCAAAAGGCATTAAAAAATTGGTTTTTTGTACTATTTGTGTACAAAGATGGAAAAAATTGACCTTCCAATATTATGGTGTATCAAAATTTAATTGTTTTTTCAATACTTTTATAACGCGCAGCAACAAGCTTCGAAAACTCTATAAAGTTCAAAAATTTTTTGTCATTTATAGTATTTGTGGTAAACATTCCTCCGCTAGCGAAAATGAATATATCACCTACAAATTCGCAAAAGAATTTGGAATTAACCTAAACTTTTCAAGCGAGACGCCTATACGACAAAAATTTTTATTTTGAGAATAGAAAAAATCAGCTGCATTCACTCCATCTTATAGAGCATGAAAATTTTGTTCTTTTATTTCTTTTATATTTTTTACTGATAACGGTGATGGGTATAAAAGATTCGGTTCCGACCGTATTTCATTTTCTTACTTGTTAATATGTAGATATAGATTAAATATCTCATGTTGTTTACGGATTTTATTTTATTTGTATTTTTTAAAATTTACTAACTTTGAGCAAATACTTGTTTATCAAATCGCTTTCTTTAGTTTTTAAGATTACCACACCAGAAGGTATATATATATACCTATATATATATATATTTGAGGATAATATTTGTAGCGCGTAACAATATTAATATATTGGAGATCACATAAAGCTTGACATGGATTTTTACTCAATATCTCCTTCGATCTGAGTTTTTTCCAAATTTTTTGGATTATCTTACGATCTTTCCGTTATTGTTCTAAAAATCGTAATTCATAAATCTCCTAAATTAATCCTTACAATGGCTTTAGTGTATGTCGAGTTTTAACAATAGTTTCATGTAAAAAGTATTGTAAACTAAACTTTAGGACGAGAATATAGGAAAGCAGAAATCACTAACTATCGTTCAAAAAGAATCTGGAAACCGAATTCATAAAAATTGCATTTGCCACCTTGTTCGTGGGGAGATATCTGACTCAGTTAAAGAGTGGCGGCTTTGTAAGCGATAGAAGGGCACTGTTTGACTTCGGTTTGAGTTTTAGCTGTTCCCGAAGAATTGGTTTACGATTAATATAAATAATATTTTTAGAAGAATTTAAATCTTTAGCATAACCTTGATGCGGTATATAAATTAAATTCATTAGGATTTATTTTACGTTTAGCTCAGAAGGGACTTTTTTGTCCAGAATGGATTGAAGTGCTTGCGTTTTGGATGTACTTTGCTAAATATCGGCTCGAGTTAAAAGCAATTTTTCATTTGTATTTGTATGTTTTTATCGCATTTTATTTATATTTTTTCCATTTGTTTATTTATCATGTTTATTATTTATGAGTTATAATACTTTTGTTTATGTGTTATTATCTGTAAATGTGTATATGTGTATGTGTATGACACAAACTTATTACATAAAAGAAGGTGTTTACGTTCATTACAAATACTTTTACATAAAGTTTTCGCTTTTTATTATATAAATTACTTTCAGTTTTTACTAATATTTGCTTAACATTACTTTTTCATACTTGAATAGCTAAAAATATTTTTTTTTCGTTTCTTTTTGTTCTTTTTCAATGTCATTTAGTAACTACAAATTTTTTATACTAAATTCATACATAAGTATAATATACAAATGGTCTTAAAACTAATTTTTAACTTTCGTTTTATCTTTTCGTATAAGTAGCTTATGTAAATTTAGAGTTGTGTATTTACATTATAACATCACGGGGTGCCTTGGTACTAACGTTTTTTTGTTTTTTATTATTTGAGCAAAAAAATTTATTTTTAATTTATTTTTGCAATTTTCTTCATAAATTCATTTAAAAATTTCTTTTTTACACCTGATTGCGTTCATGTTGTTGTCGAATTTGTATGTAATTATTTTCTATGTAAATTCTTTAATTAGTTATGTTATGCCCACCGCTCGAAGTTTGCGGATATGTTAAATTTGGAATTGGCCTATGTGTCCTGATTTTGGCTTTGGATGTTGCTTTCTGGGGTAGGAAATTTGATATTGAAAGAATCAGTCTGTCAGTCCGTTTAAATAGGCTTTACGCAGAGAATTTACTCAATCTTGTTAAAAGCTGTCTTCAAAATCCATTTCGATACTTTTCGCAATAATCTCTTGATGATTATTTATTTCTGTTTAGATACGATTATCTGGGTACAAGTGATGGGCATTAAGCGACTCGTCCGTAGCCGAACGTAATTCTCGGTTTTTTCTTTTCTTGTGTTTTAACATAATACATAAGGACGGACATCTATCTTTACCAAATGGATTAACAAAAAACTGGAAAGGAACTAAGTGCAATGAATTACTTCAAGAAGAGGGAGAAACAACAACAATAAACTCTGATATTTTATTAAAAGTATCTAAATAATATCTGTGGCATTATTAATAATTAATATTTGAATGAATATCTCTTCACAAAAATTGAAAGCTTCAATTGAAATGATTTTTAATCTCTTTCTTTTTCTCTTAATACTATTTTCCCTTTGTTTTATTTATATAAAAAACTCTGACTAATTTTAATTTATATCACTTTTATCTCCTATAATAAATAATAATGCAAAAAATTTATATGAGTATACAAAAAAAAACTAATAATTTCAGAATTACTTATATTATTATATGGGATATAATAATAATATATATATTATTATGTAATGAAATGTATTTTTATATACGTCTACTTGGGCAAGAGGGTGTTTGTTGAAAACCATAAAATTGCGAAATTATTTGTTAAATTATTCCTTATTAATATAACGTAGCACTTAACTTGCTGCGGTATCTCAATTAAGAGAAGTCAAAAACAGGGAGATTAAAAGTCTTAGCAAAAATACTTACATATAATAAATATTTCTAATCAATTATATCTTCCTATATTGTCGACAAACAATCAATACCGGGAGCATTAAAAGTACAAAGTTCGAAATGACGGTTAAAAAAAGGTTGGAAATAAAATGCGGGGATGAAATGGAAATGAATTGAAACGATAGATTCACTGCCAGTGGATACCAACGCATTGCAGGAAGCGAAACTGGAATTCCTATAGTCTCTTTTTCTGTCCGATATGTGCAATTTGAGAACAAATCGCTTGTCTTCTGCTTGCGTAATGGATTTCATGTGGTCTAAAGATATTACTCTTAATAAAATGTGTCAATGTTCTGAAAGACACGGGGGTAAACTGACGTCAAACGTCAACTTTGTCCATTTAAAATGACATTCTTAATCTTAGGTATATTAGATTATAGATTATTTCGCAAGGGCGTAGAACACGGGATCTTCAAGAGGACGATTAAAGATGGCCTAAGATAACGGCCTCTTTAACTATTCTTATAAGCTATACAACCTTACAAAGCAAATGATCCAGATGATCTAGATGTCAATATCGTACATTTATAATTCATATGCTCACTCTTAAAGAGTTTGCACCAGTCGAACATCTTCAAGTCTTTTGTTTAATTTGATTTAAGATAATTTACTGATATGATTTGAATTTGATAGTAAGTGATGAGCAGTGAAAGCAAGACGCACTTGCTATTTTTCTGAATTTGAAAAAATTCAATGTCACTGTTTTACTTCGAAAACCTTATAAGCAGAACTCCGAAAGAAAATTCATTTGCTATCGCTACGTAAGTGCTACGTTGGAATTGCTAATACGTTTACACGTACATTTTATGTATATTTACATGAAATTTGTTCTTTTTAATAACTGTAAACAAAAATTTTCAACACTCTGCTGTAGCATGACATGAAATGAATCAAATAATTGGAAAATACAAGAATCAAAACGCACCAAAATTAATGGTCACGAGGAGAGGTCGTGGTGTCCGTTATAATATCTTAGATTAATTCAGAATTTTTGCATTAATACGCCGTACATTTTTTTATATGCAGAAGTGCAAAGCATTTAAAGTGGGTTTGAGGACTTACAGCGACACTGGGGGTGTAATTATTGTTTTGTGATACTTTTGTGATAAATTGGTTGGTTGTTGGTGCTTATCTACATACATAAAAAGGTGCATATAAAATTTTTTGTGGTTGTGTGTTTAATGTTTTGAGTATGTGCGTGTGACTTTAGGTCTGTTATAAGTCTGTTATGTATGTGCATGTGTGTTTTCACCATTTATAACTTTAATTTAGTCTAACCTACAATATCTAAGCTTTGAGCATCAGTAACTAAGTTTGTGTGTATGTGATGAACATTACAAGCACCATTATTGCGATGATCATTAGTCGAGGAAGATGCATTTGCGGACAATGTTAGTGTTGAAGTGGAGTATGGAGGGGAGGGAATGTTTGTATAAGGATTGTTGATTACGGAATTTGTCATCATTATACCATTACCATTCGGAGTGATTAAGGGAGCAGAAGTTGTAGTTGTTGTTAGACGATCAATAGAACCCAATGGATAATCATTAATTGTATTGATGGGATTATGGTCAATATTGTGCGCAGTAGAAGGTAACGGGGGCGGTGTTACCGGGGAAGTAGACGTGCCATTGAATGTAGTAAGAGAGCAGGGTGGCGGTGGTGGTGGAGTGTAGACCGCAATATTATCATAATTATTGATCACGTTATCCATATTTGTTGGCGAATAATTTTGCATATATTGTGTTGATCGATTTAATAAATTAAACATGTGTTGTTGTTGTTGTTGTTGATGATGATGATGATGGTGATTGCAAGCATTAATCGTTGTTGAATTGAAGGAAGACGCAAGTGTGGGCGATTGCGATGATTCCCGAACAATTTCAGCAGTAGTTGGAATAATTGTTGTTGTTGTAATGGTTGTTGTTGATATTGTTGCAGTTGTTAAAATCCCATTATTGATTGTTGTTGGATTAGTTGTTTTAATAATGTTAGAAGAATTATTAAAGTTTTCATTAGTATCATTTATAACGGATGGTGTAGTATTATTAAATGAAGAAGAAGAAGAAGAAGAAGAAGGAGAATGGGAAGAAGAAGAATTACAAAAATTACTACTACTATCATGGTTAATTTTGCTGTTATTATTTGGAGGTGGTGATGAGGGAATTTGATTGCTAGTATTCGGATTTACAGTTTGGTTATCTAATGTTGGTGTAGCATTTAATTGCTGATCCAATTCATTAAACGAAGGTGATGGAGAAGCAGATGAGAGCTGTGATAATGTTGGTGGAGAGGGACGTAAGATTTGTGCTTGATTTTTAATGTATGATTCTGGAGGATATGGTGATGATGATGGTGATGGTGATGTTGGTGTTTGTAATGAATTTACTTGTTCTGGTAGTTCTTGAGGTGGTGTTGGTGACGGTGGTGTATTAATTGTAACATGATTCGAATTTTGTATATGTTGCTGTTGTTGATGATGGTGGTGATGGTGTTGTTGTTGTTGTTGTTGTTGTAATTGCTGTGTCTCATTATTACCATTATTACAAATTTTACTATAGAGATCCGGTGTTGCTGTGGTCACATCTTCGATTTCTGTCTTAATTGCAGTACGCTTGAGCAACTGTAAATTACGCGGCAATAAAGCCAATATATTATATATTAAGCGTATATCTTCACTAGATGTCCAAACGCCAGGACGTTTATTATGATACAATTTAGTATACTGGTAAATATTCGCCATATGACAATATTCCATCTCAATCGCCAGCGAAGAAATTGCACAAAATGTACAGGCCTGGGCACCACCATATCTACAAAAAAAAAAGGCGTGAAATAAAACGACAGATAAAATATCGTTCGGTTTTATTTGTCAATTATTTTCTCTTCTTATTCACTGCACTCACCTATCCACAACAACAATTGGTCCATTGCGATAATCGCTGCCTCTTTCGTGAACATCAACAATAAAATCATAAATGCTGCTGGGATTTGACATCTCAGGCCAGCTTGGACAGTGCAGCATTTTCACATTCAATTCATAGTCATCTTGTATAGATTGTATAACAAAATCACGACTCACATAGTCTGACTTGTTGGTTTTGCTTAAAAAGCGCACTCGATAGTAATCACTTTCGATGGGTGTGGTGTCATCTGGCCAAAATTGTGCGAAATTCTGCAAGTATGAATGAGCGAATGAATGAACGAAATATTTTGTAGTTTCCAATTTATGATGTTTCACTGAAAGCTTACTATTTCGTCTAGTGATGATAATAAGACAATCGTTTGGGCATTATGATCCCAAACCATTTGCCAGAAGTCCTTGAGGGTATGCGTCATCGGATGTTGAGTAACTACAAAATCCCGCAGGCGTCGAAAGCCATGCAGCCAGGAGGCATTAATGTAATCGCTACCTTCTTCTCCTGGCTTGGGAGTCAAATGCACGCGACTACCTTCGATGGGAAATATAGCACCACGGTTTTTAATGGAATTCACTTGTTTCATAGCCGATGCTATGTGTATATCTTTGGTCTGGAATTGTATGATATTACGATATTGTTGCTCCAGATACGGCGTGCAGTTTTTCAATTCCTCAATTTGTTCGGCTCGCAGATTAGTTTCACTTGACGCGATGGCCTCGACCAAAGCGTCATGTATGAAAATGTACTGCTCTTCAGTCTGGACGAGGAAATTACGTTGGATACGTATATGGCGCAGGAAACCGAATACATTAACTACACCTTTATGTTGGATTTGCTTAAGCATCGCATCTAACACAATATAAGTGCCAGTGCGTCCAACACCGGCACTACAGTGCACCACAATAGGACCAGCATCGTTGGGATTCGCGGCCGATGATTTCTTAACAAAGTTTAAAACAGGTAAAGGATGATCAGGCGTCCCGTGGTCCGGCCAATTGGTATAATGATATTGATATACCGTCTTTTCAGTGTTTGCTTGTTTCTTTTTCTTAAGCTGCAAGCAATAAAAGGCGTTGCCCAATCAATAACACACCCAAAATTTACTTTAAAGATTAGTTAGTACCTTTAAGTGTTTTATTTGAAAAGTTCTCACAGTGTACATGGCCATGACTTCCTCTTCGACTAGCTTTACCTGTATGACGCCATAGGTTTCGATACTTTCCTTAGGCCAATACATATCACATTTACGTCGACCTCGTTCCACTAAATTAGTAATCATGATTATAATGGCTACACGTTGCTCCCAAATCATACGCCAGAAACAATCGAATGTATCGGGCAATGGTCCCTGGGTGCCGACAAACGCCCGCGACTTTTGATAACCATCAATGAAGTTGGCGTTAATATAATCTAAATTCTTCTTTTGACCCGGCGTAGGATGCAAATGTACTCGACTATGATCGTCTAATTGAAAGAGAGAGCAGTTCAAGTATTTACTTTGCTAACTTGTGTTTAAAAAATGTACATACATGCTGTTATATTTAAATAGCGGTTTTTTCTTTTATTTTCTGGATGCTGGGAATGCTCGCAGGGTAAATCATCTGATACGCATTCATTTTGTATGGCTTCATATTCACGACTAAAACCGATATCGCCATCGGCATGCAACGAGGCCACGTGTTTAGCGAATTCATTAACCGGTACGGCTGCTCTTATCTCGCCTCCTATTTCTATCGGAACTTCCCAATCAACCTGCGGCACATTTGGATGATGTGGCGGGTCATCCAAATAATAGTAGGCAGCGTGAAAACATTTCCTGCTGAAAGAAATTTCATAAAATTAAGCAATTGATAAATTGATACTACTCGGCTTCAGCTCTACGGTCCCAATACTCTACTTATCACGTTTAATTTCTAAAAATTGTAATTGCAGCAATGCTACAATGTTAAGAGTGCTTAAGCAAAGCATTCATTTGATCTATAAAAGTTATTCGGGCTTTTTTTTATCGTCTATAACATGCAAAAAGTTTTATCCATTTTTCTAGCAACAAATGTAAGTTTCGAGTCGTCTTATGAATAGTAGAAGTAATTAATAGTTGCGTCACTTGGTCTTGGTGCGCTTTCTCGGTTATTGTGGGCGTTTCCTCATTTGCTACCAATCGGTATTGTCACAATTGTCCATAATAAGTGTCTACATATATATTCGTTGTGGTTAGAGTTAGTGTCGCGCAATGAACATCAGCTAAAGCAATTCGCAAATACGAAATCATATTAACAATGATTCAATATATAGAGAGAGGCCAAGGGAAAGATAGCGACAATCTATTACTTTTTATATGGTCTAAATAATCTTTCTCTCTCTCTCTCTCTCTCTTTTTCCCTACATAAAAATAAATATATATATATATATATATATATATGTATACAGAAATGTACATAGAATAGAAATTCTTTATGAAGTGCAATTATGGCTTTTTTAAATAAATACAAAACAATGCAACCGCCAAACTATCACAAAAGTGCATTATGGAAGCATAAATAGGAGAATTATTTTCGCTTGAGGTCGAATCTTGTATACGCGTTCCTGAAAGTTTAGCTTTGATCAGAACGTACGTCTGAGTTATGTGACGCGAAGTGGATGGGAAATTATTTTAAAATTGTCTTTGCTTGCAGCTGCATAATTAGTTCGTCGAGCTCGATCCAAACTTATAGGAAACGAAATTACAACCAAATATATATGACACTCATTTACACTTTCCGGTTTCACTCATGCATCGGAGTAATCGAAATATCTTCGGAACGGGGAACAAATGAACGATTAAACGGATATAAGCATCGAATATCGATTCGGAATTGCGCGCTCACTTATTTATTTATTCGAATTGTATTGAAATAAAATGAATTTAGTATGTTCCGTTGCCGCAAATGGAGCTTGTGTGTGTTCAAGAACAATACTAATTCCCCCCCCCTTGATCATAATTCATGATATGGTTGTTCGGTTTTGTTTTATTGCTGATGATGGTCTTGTAGTAGGTGTTACCTTTGTTTCTATTGTTTTTATTGCGCAGCAGTTTCAATAAGTTTATTTTTTATAGAATTTTAAATAGAATTTAGCTTTTGTTTGTTACGGTTGGCTTATTTTCTCAAATACACACTCAACCTACAAGTTATTCTATGCATTTATTTGCTGTATTCATTTACATTTATTCTTCACCAGTTCCAAATTCTTTTCTTTCCATTTCTTCTAAGATACACTTTACATATGTACGCTTACATACATTTTGACGCGAGAATTCTCCTTTCTTTCCATTTTTGTGTACATTTTTTTGTGTTTGCTTGCTTTCTTAGCATGCTTAAGTTACTTTGCTTGAAATATATTTTATGCCCTAAATCTTTTTAATGACTTCAAGTTTGTTAAAATTTTTATGTGTTAAATATTATTTCACTTAAGGTTACTTGAGATCTTTAAAGCTCAAGTGATTTTAACTTGTTAATAAATTACATTTTTAATCCGTTGCGTCGTTAAATGTTTTGTATATATATATATATTTTGTTTCAATGGCTCTTATAAAATTATGTGCGGAAATGCGCCGAAAAGCAGGCAACCAATTTTATTCAACAATACGAAAGCAAGAATATGCTAAAATTACGTTACGTATATATAGATAATCTCTGCAAAACTCGCTAACGGCTATTTGTCATCGATCTGCACCAATGCAGACGCAGAACCCACTAAACAGGTTGGATCGTATTTTAAATGGGTCACTCAACTTCTAACTTTCATGCGTAGTCAGTCAGACGAATTGTCGATATGAGCGTCGACGCTTTCGACAAGCTCTTAAGAGAGGATTAATTGAAATGATGGACATAATTACATCCTTTGTTCAGTATAAAAACCAACTATGCACGGTTACGGGTACATTTTACATATTACATTTTGCGTGAACATCATCAATTTGCCGAGACTTCCCGAGATAACCGTGATGCCCGAAATTTAATATGTACAAATCATGGATTGGCGAAAAAATTCCATTGGATATCGGATGCACCTGCTTCGTGTTAAGGTCGAATTGTCACCTCATCTCGAATTGTTAGCGTAAGACATAGACTTAGCTACATATTTCTACTTTCGAGCGTTTCACTACGACAGCAAAGGTACAATGAACGAGTGAGAACTCATAGAGATCTGGCATAAGCGATTCAGTTCGACGCTAGCTACGAGGAACAGCCATGCCTCGATTCGTGCCCGAGAAAGATTGGATTTCATATAATAATCGTACAAAAAATGTTATCGGTATAACTAAAATATTTTTATTCGTAGATAAGTAGGTACAAAAGCGTAAAAGTTTAGATAACGTTGCCCACAACAAACACACGAATATTAATTTCATTAAATAATGATGGCAATAAATGTAATAAATGTGACACAACCGTTCGACATCGTTTTGCGATTGTAGCAAAAGTTTATATGTGTACAAATATCGTTTGGGAAACTTACGTAAACCAGTTGCTAGCAGGTTGAGCTTTGATTTTTCCCGGTCGATAGAATTTTAGCAATTTTTGAGACATTACGTTGAAACACGAATACGAAGCGCTTGTCTCCCCTTTTCCTTCCTCTGTCAACGACAATTTCCAATTTGTCACTTCCTTTTTCACGTATATGTTTGCGTTCATGTATGCATTACATATAAATTAAATTTGAGATTTGATAAACGTTTAAAATTCCAAGCACGAAGTTTTATTTTCTTTTTATACGCTGTTCTGTCGGATATTGCGTCACCTGACCAGAATTATTGCAAGAGCAACTTTACTTGACTATTTGACATAAATAAATTCCATAGTGGGTGGCTAGACCTTTTTTCGTTTTTCTGCTTCCACTACTCTTAATACGAGCATCGTCAATTGGACATTTTCGTAAATATTCCGTTTTAGAAATTTTTACATTTGCAACAAATAGACTGAGATCTCACGAATTTTTTTTTCTTTTCTTGTTCGTTTACTTCTATTCATTTCTGTGGCCTTTGCTATCTGAGTACTTCAGGAATTATTTGCTGTTTTGTGCAATTTGTGGCATAACTTGCAGTGCACGTTTCGAACTATGATTTTTACTTTTTCTTTTGTTTTTGCACATTATTAGCGCGATTTTGTCCTCCCGTTAGAAGCCTCTCATCGATTGCCGCCCATTGATTACATTTAATAATACTTAAGCTCACAACACACGATGATCACTTTAACAACTGGTTGACGCGATCGTTGTTGTTCTCAACACAATTGTGCAGCAAATCGTTCATATATGATAAACTAGCGGCGGATACACAATTTTTCTCTTAATATATATATATATATTTTTTTTGAAAGCACAGTGTTGAGAAAAAGAAGAGAGCGACAATGTAATTACCTACACAATGTATTTATAGCGGACGCAAGTTTCTCTAAAATGTGATTTATTCAGATTCTTCCAGAAATTCGGACATTTAACCTAAAAGTAATTGGGTCGAAGAGTAAGAGATTAATAGGAAAAATCCACAAGATATCCTGACCGACTAATTTATTGTAAGCAAGAGTGCAGCTTGCATTAACACCAATTATCATCAAGGTATCTGTAATTTCTACTGTGGTGATAAAGTTGCGTAATTACAAGAAAAACATGAAAATTTTGTGACAACATTTTCCAAGATTCGCGTTAAAGGGATTTACGGCAAATTTGGTTTTATTGCGATCGAACCAGCAGCAAAGCGAAGAAGAGAGAAACGTTCTCATATACAGAAGTCTTCTCATAAACTAAAGAGTCTACACATTCGACCAAGAGATCAAGAATAGATATTGCTCTCTTCTTAGTCCCCCATTCCCTCTATTTGCCGCTCTCTTCCACTACTTGGAATTGATTCATTTATTTTAATTTTTTTTTTTTTACGCCTTATATGTATATATATACGTATATATATGTAAAATATGATAGCCAGATAGATGTAGATACGTGAGGAAATTGGGTTTTGTTTGTTTTAATTAACAAGAAAACTTAACCCTCTCTTTTCTTACGTAAGGCAATAGTGTAATGCATGAGCTTGTTGCATTTCGTTTATTACTCAGATTTAATTGTTCAACGTCTCTCTGTCTGTCTGTCTGTCTGTCTGTCTGGTATATCAAGAAACTTTTCCATTTGATGAGTAAGCAGAAAGTTATTTGTGCACTATGTACACTTTTGTTGCTTTCGGTGGCTTTTCATGGCTAATACTGAAGAAAGTTTCTCCTTTTCTAACATGGTTCTTGTGCACGTAGTACACATACATCGCAGTGTATTGATATAAGAAAAGTTTCAAATAAAATTAGTTGACCATTTGTTTTGAACTTGTTTGCTTTTTCTTTCAAGCAACTTTTTCGATTTTCGAAGTCGTCTGAAATGAACAAAACCTTTTTTATTCTTCACAGCAATTTCGATGACATAAACAAACGTCCTAACATGCTGCTGTCATTAGATTGGAATTAGGGCTATTACGCTAGGTATACATGTATGTAAACGTTTCCCATAACACAAACAACGCATTTCTTCTTGATTATTAGTATCGGAATTCGTGAATTCGCGTTATCCTACCCTCCCCTCATCTACTCTGTCTACTATTGGAAACATTTTATCATTAGAAAATTCCCTATAAAAATTTGATCGTTTCATCGTTAGAGACGATTCCTGCGAACAATCCTATACTTGACTACAACGCGTCTTTGTGCAATTGGCGTACAAGTTATGTGACTGGATCAAGTTCAGCTATTTCGCATGCTTTGTTACTTTGAGAACATGAGAACACCATATATAGAGAGCGCAAGGCACGTAACACGTGAATCGGGTAATTTAAGTATACTTAAGTACACGCGAGTTCCCGATGCTGATTCGATTAAAATTTAATTTTTTTTGGTGATATTATCAATAAATCCTTTGTGTGTTATGATGACTAATTTTGTTTACAACAAACTTTACAAAGTACGGAGATGACATTTTGCACAGTAGAAAAATCAAAGCAACTTCTTATAAACTTATAAATAACAATGTTTTTTGTTTCCTTTAGTCTTACGGAGGAATTCGCCAAAAACTACCGTATTATGCTTAAAACTAAAGTAAAAAGATAAAAAAAAAAGAAAGAAAAATTAAAAAAATGTCTGCCAACATCACCATCTCACGCTCAGATACGTTTGTTCATCTTTCAACGGAATAATAAAAAATCCGAAAGAGTAAAAAAAGTTTACTTTGGCATAAGTTTTAACCTCAAAAAAAGTTTCATTCCCGATCTTGTTGATGGTTCACAAAGTAACAAAAAAAAAAAAAAAAATAAAGTTCAATACGAAAAATCTTAAGTAGAATTGTGAAATGTATAAACACATGCAGGCACACACATACACATAACCTAAAAAAAATAAAGCCAACTTAAACTAAAGTTTATAAGTATAAAAAGGAAAAAGTCAATGAAATTGTAAACAAACGCATCAAAGATAAAATATAAATATACAAGCACACAGAAAAAAGGAAGGACAAGTAAAAAGGAACAAGTCAGATCATGTGAAACTTTGGGTATTTGAATAAATTTGGTCTGAAATATTCACCAAAGCATTCAAATAAGAAGAAGCACTTAGGGGAGGGAAAGAACGCTTTGTTCATGTACAAGTGCCTTTGTATATTACGAACTATTCACATACTCTGCTTTTGACATCTCGGGCCCATGTTACTGAACATTCGAAAAATTAGATTAAAATGCATTGCCAAGATTTACTACACCTTGGAAACTATTTACGCTTTAGGCGACCTCTACGGCTTTCGTTGAACGGCAAATGGTGGCCACGACTAAGCTCGTGATACCAGCGTCTCACAATAGCAAAGGACGGCGACATTATTACCGAAAATTATGATAATCGACGTCGTGACGACTTTCACGAGTTAATTGCACTTTTCGCAACATTCAATTATAAACAATAGAATTCGCGCTTAAATGAGAAAATGTCCTGAAGAAGGACAATACGTAAATAGAGCCTAATGTAGCCTGAACAATTGACAAGTGAGCTCAGCTAAGATCATTTTAGTTATTGTGATCTTTGATCAAGTAACGAACGCATCCCGCTTATAATAATCATTATTTCGAGGGCTGCGCCCGAAGTGAACTCGCTCTTACTCCCTCCGTAATTTAGTTTACCCGACCTACTCCCTCTTTTATGGCACTTTGAGCATCACGAAATGTTGATAACAACGAACTTGACGGCGCTTCAGAGGAACTGCTTTTAGCATTCGAACTTTTCAATCTAGGGCTGGCTTTTTTGGGCTCCTGATTATTTGTTTGAATTACTTGATCGGCCGCCTAGAAGTTAACTAGTAGCAGTAGACTAGTTACAGTTAACTATTGTTGTTGTAGATATCGAAAGGTTCTCCTGAAAAGATCTGCGGATTGTAGCGAGGTTTTGAGAATTCTTTGATTTACAAGTGACTTTGGCTTAAGGTTGACCGTACTTTTTATCCCTTTATCCTTCATGTTCCTTGTCGACTATCATCGTTATTTTGGTAAAGGTAAGGAAAAACGATCTTCAAGTTTCATTCACTTCCCGCTTCGTGTGCGCACTCTACCTTACGTTATGACAGAGTTTGTATTATTTAGGCGATCCTCTAAAATCTCCCGATAGCATAGATTGTTTCCATTGAATCTCGCCTTAAACACATTCAGTCGGGTATACAATTTTAAAAGCTTTGAGATTAATAACACTATATTTGTAGAAAAAAAAAAAAAAAAAATATATTTACACATAAATATATATTTTTTTTTTTTAGTCTTTTCATTTATAAAATATTTATATATAAAATAACTTTAATTTAATATACAGAAAAAAAAAAAAAAAAAAAAAACAAAAAAAAGAGGAGAACGTATCACTTTGGTCTCTTTTTGTAAAACACAATATAACCATAAATCTAATAAATGTAATAAAAATTGCTTTCCGTAGGAAAATCAACTCGGTTGCTGGATGAAGGACTTTATCAACACACTTCAAAAACCTTTTACTGGTTATGGATTCTTTTCACATTTCTATGGAATTAATTCTCTGTAGTTTTTTTATTTCTTTTTATTTTATTCGTGTTTACGTTTGTTTGAAAAGATTTAATTAATTTTTATTATGTTTGCATTTTTTATAATTTTCAACAAGTTTTTATTAGTTTTTGTTTGCCGGAATTTCAATTGCAGCGGTAGCGTCCTCGGCGGCTTAGGCATCTGCAGCTCATGTTATTATCTAAGAATTTAGATTTTTTGTTTTTCGGGGAAAACTTTTGTTTTCGAGTTCGAGTCCCATGTTTGATAGGAGAGCAGAAAATGCCAATTGCCATTTACGCTTCTGTTTTGTTTATGTTCGCGGTCGGTCGGGCGTGTGTGCGGGAGTTTGCCTTGTACTTTAAACCTTCTTTTATGATGTGTTTTGCGTATGAAAAGAGTTAATTTTTATTTTAATGCAATTAAATGATGACGACCATGAGATGATTCACTCATCCGTTCATTCGTTCTCGCAGTTCTTCTATAGTTGTTTGCCGTGCAGTTTATTCGGTACTTCTTTCTACATGGGCAGTAACTAGTTCGATGAAAGGCGGCAGAGGGGATGAATTTTTTTCCGTCTGTTCTCATTTAAAAATCTTTGGCTCTCCGTCACGAACTCTGTTAGAATTCTGTCAACCACTTAACTCAATGGTTTTATTTAATGGAAAATCTTTTCAAGTTTTTTTTTTTTTTTTAAAGAATTCTTTTTTCCACCAGTTACTCTGTGCGGCTCTTTATTCCGCTTTTCCTATACGCACTGAATCACTCTTCTCCGTTTTAGAGAGCAAAACGAGTTGTTGATTTAATAATGAAAAAACTTTTTTCTTTCCCTTTTTGTATATTCTTTACAAAGAACATTTTTTATACATTTTAACGAAACGCTTCGTCGCTTATGGTTTAATAATTTCAGAGAAAACTAAAAAAAGGAAATTTGTTGCATTGATTGTCAACTTTTTTCACAAACTTTTTCTAAAATGATAAGAAGGCTGCTTGCTAAATACGTTAGTTCAACTCATTGATAGCGTAACAGCATAAAAGGTAGACTAACTTTAATTCTTCCGAGAGTCCATTTTGCCAGGTATCAAACAAAATATAGCAGATTTGATGAAAGTCTTTCAAGAGTAAGCGCAAATTCTATTGTTCTACAATATTTTCGAAGAGTGCGACATTCGTTACAAGTGTCGTTTAGATTTATTAAAAGCCGCCTCTGATCCTATCGCTTTTCGCTGCGCTTAGTGAACAAATGGATGTTGACGCACGAATATATAAGTAAGTCTCACAACTAATTTAGCTCAAGGAGTACCGATACAATTATCATCGAATAATTATAATTGAATTTCGAATTTGTACTCTATGTAGTTGTTAATGTTAGGAGAGTTTATGCTGAGAGCTTAATATCGTTATTGCGTTCATTGTGGAAAACTGCAGTCTTTCCATATGCTTGCGATGTGTTCGTGTTTATAGCGCTATATATATATAGTTTGCTTGTGTCAGTTACATTCTTTTCATTTGTTTTCATCTTCTCTCTTCATCTCAATGATTACATTTTTAATTTTTCTTTTCATTTTTAACTTTTAAACGTTTCATTATTATTAAGACTTGGTTCGTTTCATTCTTCATGTCCGCACTTTGCATTACAAGCTAATAATCAATCAATTTAGAAAAAAAGATTTGCATGAGCATTAGATCGCTCATAAATTACCTGCTCACTCACACGATGTGCAGCGGTGGTGCACTAGGCCGATTAAATAAAAAAACCGCTGTCCGCACCTCTTTCTTCCCCTTTTCATTTTCAAAGTCGCACAAATGTTAGCGAATATAGCGCACATGCCTTGCACAAATTTTCGGGGCTTTTTACATGATGATAGATGATAAGGAGGGTGTAAAGCGTAGATTTTTCTAGTTTGTTTCTCTTTATTACATTTTTGTTGTTTAGTTTTTTTGGTGGAATTGCGTTTAAAAAAAAAAAAAAGAAGAAAAACTTCAATTACCATGATCATGGTAACTTTATTGTTGCAAATTATTAGGGCATTCTTTCCATTTCTTTAACTTCACTTCGCCATCATTTCGTCTGCACAATATTCGCTATTTTCTATGCAAATTATTATCAATCCTATTATTTAGGAAAGTTTTTGAAGTCACTTTTCATTATTTGCATAAAAGGAAGAATATTCTTAAATTAGTGAAAAGCAATTACGGAGAAATGAGTTATAAAAAATGAAAGCGCGCAAAATTATTCTGAAGAATAAGTGAGAGAAACTAGAAAAATTCTTCTTCTTTTATGTACTTATATGTACTTATGGCTTATTTATTTCCTACATATGCATTTAATGGATAAAATAAGAAGATGTCGTTGCATTCTCTTTCCTAATTTACGGAAATTCATTCGGAGACAATTAAAGAGCATGACATTTGAGACAAATCTCGCAATGGCCTAGATTAGGCTGTGAGAACCTTCGCTTTATTTCAACATTCAAACGTATTGTTGAATGGGAAAATAATGGATCAAAGGAAATGTGTTTGTCACGTTTTTTCACGAAAATTGCTTAAATTTGATAAAACTTTGAAGAGCGGGATCGATCGTCTGCTTAGAGTGGAGCAGGTAATGATGCTTTGGCTTGGAAATGGCTTATGCAGCTTCATCCGTCTTGAACTACGATTCTTTTTTCTCCACATTGCCGTAAACCACATTCACTGAAGTTCCCAACTTCGACGGCGGAAACAGATAACCCAATTGCGTGCTGCTGATTTTGCAAAGCATTTCTACTATAAATATCGTTTTTGAAAAGCCCGGGCGGCGTTGCCGGCTTACCGCAGGCAATATTGTAAAATAAATTATTTTTTGTAGAGTTTTGTGACACACTTTCATAACACTACCATGCTTTTGATTGAATTTGCAAAAGTTCAGAAGGTTTGCTTTTTAACTATCTAAGGAATAACGCCTTTCACACGCACTGGTGCGTAGACATATAGAACTAATGCTACCAAGGTTACGCTACCTTAAAAGTGTCATGAGTGTTTCTTTGATTCAGCGAGCAAGCGAGCAGATACCTAATATATCGGCATAAGTTATTAAGTGAACTCTTTATGCCCAACACTAACGCTACCAATATTCGTTTCACTTAGAGGGACTCGCTTTAGAGAGAAAATATGCGTTCAGTTGTAAATAGTCAATGCGAGTTTTAAAGATAAAGAACATATAATTTCCGTATCGTTTGTTTCGAACGATTAATTAAATTTATATTAATTTGTGCAGTAACTATATAATTTTAATTTAAAAATATAATAACTCAGATACGCTCAGTTTCTTTATTTTTTGCCTTAAGAATGTGTGAGTGACCTTTAACCAATAATGAGAATGGTATTTAAACCGGAAAATGTATTTTATTAGCTCGTCTAAGAATTACTTCTTCTACAGCGAAAGAAGGAAAGAAACAAAGGAAACTTCTATAAATTTGCAATAATCATAAATTTAATGAGCTTTGCCGCTTATTATGGTTCTCTTTCCCCTCATTGCCATTGTATTGTTGCCGGATTTTACCGCAAATTTCACTACAATTTCAAATTATAACTGTGTACGCATACACACATAGATATGTATGGATGTTCATACTTATTCATTCACTTTTATGAGGAAGACTTTCCTTCAATTAGTACAATGTGTTTTACTTAAGATTGGGAGAAGATTCTCCTTCTTTTTTTTTTTTTTGAGAGGAAGAGAGAAAGAGAGAGAACATCGGCGATACATACATAATTATATATAGAGAAGGAAACGTTAAAGGAACACCACTTACCTCCATAAAAAGAAAGCCATAACAATCAAGACGATACCGAAACAACTGAAAATGATGCCAACCAAAACGGCTAAGTTGTAGTCATTGTGCGATTGTCGCAACAGAGGCTGAATCTTCTCGCAGTTCGGCTGCAAGCCAATCTGAAAACACGACAACGGGATAATGAAAACGAGAATTTGCTGCTGAATGAAAAACGGCCGTCCATGCGACAAATTAAGATATTTAAAAGTTTATAAATGGCAAAAGTTTAGGCAATGAATCGCAAAATTAATGCATAGTAACTTTCTTTCTTCTCTTCCCATCATTCCAAATGCAAAAGAAGAGCAAAACAAACACTTTTTTAATATAAACAAATAAAATGAAACAAAGTTCATAGGATTTGTTTGCTGTATGTGTCAAAGAATTTATTTAATTTTGCTTAAAAGAAATTGTCCTATAAAAGTAATTTTCCTTCTCGCGTCTTCATCATACTTTCTTCCCCTCGTCTCTTTCGTCTCTTCCCCTTAAGAAATATTATAGTTTTTAAAATATTTTCCTTTTAGTTTTCCGGTGCCATCGCGTAAATCCATCCTAAGTTATAAAAAAAAAAAAAAAAAAATAAAAAAAAAAGGACAGGATGGAGTTTCAATTGTAAGCTTTAGTTAATATCTGCTCGACAAAAGGAAAACGGAAACTGTTTTACGAAACGAGCACATAGATATATCCTAAGACAGGCAGGCGTACACAGCAAACGAACGCTACCGGAAGTTGGGAACACACCAAACCGAAAGAGAAACAGCGACTTTGATGGAAAATTATTTATGTTTTTATAAACAGAACACGGGCAACTTACACCTGCAAAACAAACATGAAAACTCGAACGGAATACATATTGTGTATTACAACCGCTGCCTTTGCTGCGTTTTATTTATTTACGCATGAATTACGTTTGATGCGGATGATAGTAGTGCTACTCTGCAGATATAAATTGAAAACAAACTTCGGAAACCTGGTAAGCTAGCTAGACATATTCTCTTAGCTGTTGAACGGTTATTAACTGTGCCACCTGTGGTTGTTGTAATTTCTGTGACAGGCAAAAATGGTAGATAAAATTTGCATCAAATTTTTCTCTTAAGGACACGAGAAATTTATCTCGTTCTCGATCCACGCAATGACTTCAAACAATAAACTCACGCTTGCACATAATAGACGTCGACCTTAAGTGTGAGTTTTCGAATTTTATTTGCATCTAAAGGCGTTCTTCATACAAGGACTGAACTGACTTAGCCGTACACTAAAGCAAGGAGCAGAAAAGAAAAGCGTATTACTGTGAGAGTTTTTAAAAGGAAAGCAATGAATATGTTCTTGCAACTAGCATACGGGAAACGGTTTGTTTCTTATGTTTAAGTACACTTTGTGTCCGCTCGTGTTGAATGTCCGTTTTGCTAGAAATCTTATGTTGTTTTTTGCTTTGGTGCAATGAAAAAACCCGTTGTCTCTAAGGTGACTTAGACAACAGACAGACAATCGTTTAATTTTGTGAATCGTTCTTCTTCGTATTTGATACTTGCACATAAATGTGGAGAACAGATTTGTTCTTACTTTATGTTTGCGTAGTAAATTTTTGTAACAAAACGTGAAGTAATGTCAATAAATATTTTTATATCCTCTAAAAATTCCAGAAAATGGTGCACTGCTTCTCCCCAAGTCGGAGCAGGGAACATTTTTATAGATTGACAAAGCTAATGGCGAAGGGATGAGATGAATGCATTTTTACACCACACAACTACACTGTTATCTGACCCTGCAAAAATCAGGTAATTCATTGTGAGGAGCTTAGAGGCCTATGTATATTGTAATATGTTATGGCATTAATTAAACTTTAAGAAACTTTTGAAAAGTCTTTAAAAATTTATGGTAATTATATGAAATTCTTCCATCACATTGCCAGCCTAAGTAATATATTTGAAGATATGCACACATGTGCGGATGGGCGCAAAAATAGGCTGACGAGAATGCATGATTTAGATTCTGGCCACTTATATAGAAATTCAAGGCTAGGCAGGGTAGCTACGCTGAATGGCTAAGGATGCGTTTGCATAGGTGTCATGTCCTCTCTTATGATTTATAATCTTTATAGATAACTCAATCTATTTGGTTCGTTTTCGTTTGGGTAATAAATCTTAAATATGGAAAACAGTAGATCATTGTGATGCCATATTAAGCTTATGAATTTGTAAATTACTTCTTATAATTGGCCAAACGAATGAATGAATGAATTTGTTATCGTTACGGTATAGTTAGTTATCATTTGCATAAGTAAGTGTCTGCGCTTGAAATGCTGGACTGGGTGATTACGAGGAAATTGTTTTCCAAAATTTGTTTAGGGCAGAAAATTAATGAGAAGTTCGAAATGTTTGATTCACTATTACATTAGGTATACATTCAACTAAGATTGATTGATACCTTTGCTGGTCTGCTGATGGCTGATACGAGAGCCATAATGACCGTTAAAGAACGAATAGTCTATGGTACTATCAGGGTATTGGGGCGCAAAGCTGAAGTTAAGCGCATATAAAGTTCATCCACACATTGCACACTATTAAGCTCTAGTATCTATCAGAAGCAAAGGATTCAATCATTAAACTGAATCGATCAAAATCAAGGAAGAACCTTGCTTGCTTGCTTGCTTGCTTTTCTATATGTAGACATATAGATCAGACAGGATGTGGCCATTTCAGATTCATCCCGATACGGGTACCAGTTTTCTTATTTATCTGTTACATTCAATAGTTTTAATTTATTTTCATTTGTTCGATATGTAACGTTCTTTTCCCCTTCCCTTGTTCAGTATGCAAATATTAAGTGTGTGACCAGAATTTTAGATATGCAAGAGAGAAAAGTGAATTATATTTTAACTCTATATGCTATATATCCTATTTTAAGGATACATGATACATACCTTTCTGCTTTCGGAAAATTTTCCTAAAATAATTTTCTTTGGATTTATAATACTGGTTGTCCCAGCTGCTACCTTAACCTCATATAGTTGAAATACAGTCAGATTTTGTATAATCATCTGCAAGCAATTCAAAAGAGATAAAGATAATAAAATATATTGTCTTTCATTTATTTAAATTTTACATTTACATGCATTTCTATATATATATATATATATATACATATATTGTATTCATATGCTATGCTTTTCATTTAACTGAAAGAAACCATTTCCTCATATCTAACATAAAAAGCAACAAAAAAAAAAAAAAAAGAAAAGAAAATATTTATATAAGAATGAATCGGTTAAAAGTGCCAAGTACTGCACATAGTTATTGTATCGTTGCTCATAAAAGCAAAGGTCTACGCATTTATTTGATTTCTTTTACTTCTTCTTATACCCACCACGGAAGGGATGGAAGGGCGGTACACCCATTTTGTTTTTTTTTTTGTTTTTTCACAAAAAATTATGAAAGCTTCAGAGTATGTGTATTTTTGATCAGCATTAAATTCTGAATTGATTAAGCCATGCCTGCCGGTCTGCGTGTCTGTACGGTGTGTGTTTTGCCGGCACGCTCTTGGTTGCAACATTGAAGACATCGACTTCAAATTTGGCAGAAACATTGCATGCAGGCTGGTACTGAAAATGGGTCAAATTGGTCAGCAGGAGCCCGCACTGCAGCATAAAGTGAACGCAATTCCCCTTCACTTAGCAAAAACTTGCAGAGTTTTGCTCCTTCCTCCGAAGCAATAGTAGTTAGAAGGCTGATAATTTCCACATTTATTTTTACAAAACACTGTACTCTTCATGTCCAAAAAATGGAAAAAATTGGACATGCCCACACAAAGTTCTAAGTGATTAAATTTTATTTTTTTCACTTTGTGCTTATTTATCCATAAGGCAAACAAGACAGAATGTTTAAAACTATTTTGTACATTTCCCTCATGAATGTTGCATATATTATCTGCTTAAAAATGGATTAATTTTAAGATGAATATGCTAGACATCCCGACCTGATGGCTTCACACCACGACTTACCTTCGATATAGGTATCAAATGAAAGGGATTGGAGAGTAGAATGCAACAAAGTATATTAGTTATGATTTAATTGTGGTAGACGTTTGATAGATAAAGTGTTGGGGAGTTTCAAAAAAAAAACCGGTTTCTTCTACATTAAAATCTTGTGCGGAGCAAGTGTTTAAGCGGCTGGTATGCGAGATTCGGCCCCCGCCAAATATAACCTTCTCACTTATTTTATGTGTGCATGCTATAGCCAACCCTTCAGGAAATGTCAAATATATTGCGTAATATAATTAACTTGCCAACAATAATTGGCTTCGTATATGCTAAATAAATCACATATTCAGAACTCGGTCAGTCAATTTAGCAGCTTCGCGGTCACAACATCCATTTTTCTATATATTCAAAGCTGATATTCTTATTCCTTTAGTATCCTGGCACACAGGCTGGCGACAAAAAATGTACCTTTTTCCCAAACGCATAAATTCAAATGCATTGTTTCGAGCAATCTTAATGTCGCTTGTTCGATGGAGCAAATGATTTGTGTCAAAGTCATTTGTCGACAGACATTCGGTGGCGCTTTGTTTTCGCAGTGAGCGACCATCTTTCTCATTCATAATCGATTAGTTATGATATCTACGCAATTTTAGTAATAATTTTATAAATGTCTTATGTCTTAGTTTTCAAATTTGAAGATACTACGTAGATAGCATGTAGATAATAGATAGACAATGAGTAACCACTAAATAATGTCTACCTATTACCTATGATATGTAGAGTGCACTTTATGCACTCTTTCGTTACTATGTAGAAATTGCATCGATATTAAATAAACATTATGTAGGTACATATTACGTCGATATTGCGCAGATAAATAACACGTGGGTGTCTATCTACACATACGTAGGTATTTATCTACGTGTTGTTTACTTAGCGCCTACCTAATATCTACATATATACATTATGCAGATAATAGAGAGATATCTTCACGTACGAGATGGATGGATATCTTTACGTACGTTTGCTTACGTGTAGATAGAAATCTACGTGGTCTCTATCCACGCAAAATCGACGTAATATCTATGTGATGTTTTACTTAATATCTACGTAATGTCCTTATAGTTGCTTTTTAGTAGCTATGCAGCTTCTACGTACCATGCATGCAAGTGTACGTAGTGGTTAAAGAATGCGTAGAGTGCACACTGTTTACGTAATGGTTTTTCGGCATGTTTTTCTTTCACTGCTCATGTCTAACTTTCTTATGACATCGAGTTAATACTCTTATACGAATGACTGTGGCTAAGTATGGGCAGACATTTTACTTAATTCAAATTTATACGTACTGCTGTTTCCAATTCCTTTTCCGACGCGTTGATGCGTATATCACGATGCGTATCTTGGCCAATAATTTTTGTTTTAATGACATAAAAGTCAATGTTATTATAATATTCAAGTGGGCGTTTCCAGCGTATGGTTAACGAATCCTGAGAATGACATGTTAAGTTAACAACGATTGGCGCACTTGGTCCCGCCACATCAGTGCGCTGGATGATCTGATCTGAAGAGTCACCTTCATTTTTGGTGGTGAACGCTTTAACGATTACACGATATTCAGTAAAAGGCTCTGTAAAAGAAAACATATTTTTTTTTTTTTGTATTTTTTCAAAAGTTTATAAAGATTAAGCTGCTGCTACTCGTATCGTTGTTATTAATTTTTAAACAATAAATATTAAGAGCATTAATTAACTTTAAATTCGCGCATTTAATAATTGTCACAAGTCAACTCATGTTAGGTGTGCGTAGAAGCGTACACAAGCACAGGCAGCTCGTTTTGCTGTTATTCTGTAAATATTCATGTGTATGAGTTGTTAATTATGTACGAACACATGACTATGCGCGCGAATTAAAAAAAAAAAAAAGAAGAAAATTCAACTGAAACCTTATACCACGCGTTGTGGCTATGTGTGTATTGTGTAAAAGCAACTGCCACCGGTGGGTGTATGATCGACATGCTTTAAACTATTTAAAGAGATTATCATCTGACAGTTATTGGCCACAATAGCCAACGACAACCAGTGAATCTGGCTTTAGCGACTTTGACATTAATGGGCATACAATGCTATTTATAATGAAACATAAAGCGATCTCGAGGCTCTATCAGTACATGCACGTAAGCGCCGCGTGGATGCATAGTAAAAAATAATTAAAAAACTTATACTCGCCTAAGAACGAACCTTTAACACCCACCACTTCGAACTATTACATTACGATTGCGCACTCTTTTTACAAAATTTGGGCGTGGCAGGTGGCCCTTGGGAGCATTTCTACATTAGCCTTTCAGCCAAATCTGGGAACTATTTGTAACAACCACCATAGGTTGTTATAGGTTGTTAGTTAGACGTCTTTTGTTTTTGTTCTTTCATTTAAGTTTCTGCAGGCTAGTGCCTGCTATGAGTTGGAAGTTTCCCCTTTCGTTTTCTGCATGATTTCTGCGCCAGTTAGTAGACAATAGACAATAGACGAGGAATGAAGAAAGTAAGGAAGACGGACGCAGACTTAAATGGGATCGGAAAGTTACGCTCATCTACAATGTCTCTTGTGCGTGGTGCGTAGGTGTCGCAAACGGAGCGACAAATTCATTGCACTCTCAACTTTCGTTGGTGGGCATAATAAAAACATACTAACGTATATGTGTCGTTTATCATAATTGGGATTAACTAGGACTGTTGTGTGTTTTCGCTGCAAAAAAAAGCAACAGAGAAAACGGGAAGGCAGGGAAATTCACCCTTAAACAGCATAATTTAATGTCAATTAATGTATTTGAAGAAAAGCTTATTTTAGCCTGCGGTGTGACATTTGCATAACTGTAAATTAATTTCTCCCTTTCAACATTTTCGCTGTAATACCTCTACGCTCTCATACTTACTTAGTTTTGGCAGTTCAAAGCGGATGACAGAATCTGCAGCATTTCTTTTGACAATTTCTACGCCAGTCTGGTTTTCATGTATGTGGAAAACATGGTAGCCAGCAATTGCGCCATTTTGATTTTTAGGCGGCAGCCAAGACATTGTGATGCTAGAAGATGTCACATCTAATACCGTTAAATTTAGAGGTTTACTTGGCACTGCAAAAGAAGAAAAAAAGCCAATAAACATTTTAGCTACGATCCGAAACACGCAAACATCAACTTGTTTGAATAGGATTGCGAACAGAAAGAAAAGTTGATACAGTACGATGGAAGAAAATTTTCTCTTATAAAGCAAAAAATTTTCCTTTTTGGTCGAAAACGCCACGTCTTAAAATGAAAATGTGCTTTTGCCAAAAACGCAAGGCCTAACGTTATCCTAAATCTAGGAAATTCCTAAATTGGAAAAAGGTAAAGATTCTTTATTTTTGTTAGAAGAGGGTGACTATTTTCGAGCTCATTTTTAGGCACCAGTTCATTAGATCGAATTATACCCAGTCTTAGAGATTTGGACTACAATCGATAGCTCTCGGACTCGCACATTGCCAATTTTTGCATTTTTCAAACGTTACCACGCAGATAGACGGACCAATCAATACTGGTCTAATAAATTTCGCTCTCTACAATACATTCCTTAGGAATGCAAGCCTTGCAAGATCTCGATATTACAAACTAAATGACAAAGAAAAGGCAGTTTTTATCTTCTGCTCTATACATTAGATCAAGTATCAATTTTATTTATTTAAAAAATAATTCCAAAATCACTTACAATTAATTGTTCGTAAATTTTTTTAAAATTCTTCTTATTAGTACTGTAATGTAAAAAATACTTTTTAATCTTTATTTCTCAAACTTTTTTATAGATATCGCGATTTGGTGCCAATTATATGATGCTGGTCGACAATTTCTGACGCGACATCATACTTACAACACTTAAACTTGGTTTTCTAAACTGGATTATAAGAAGTGAGGTTGATTTTATTAGAATCAATTAATATGCTTACCAGGTCTTGGCTATTCAATATTATTCGGTCTCGGACACCTACCATTTAGCAAATTGAATCTTCACTGTGATTACGTCAAACACAAATTTTATCGTGTACAGTAAATAGAAACAAATTTTTATTCATTTTAATTAATTTAAGTTTTTATTGTATTGGATTTATTTGCTTGTATTTATATTTTATAAAGAAATATTATAATCAAAAAAGTAATAATAATAAAACAATATTTCGTTTTAATAAAATACAAAACAAGAATAAATAAATTTGTTTGGTTATTCGTTTGCAAGTAAGAAATGTAAGTATTACATGTAAAAAAAAAAGTCGACGTCATTGTCTACATGCGTAGATAATGCGACGTAGACAATGGCGCCATTGTCTACATGCGTAGACAATGCGGCGTAGACAATGACGCCGTGCGCAGAAAATGCAACGTAGACAATGACGTCATTGTCTACATGCGTAGATAATGCCACGCCTACATGCGTAGATAATGCGACGTAGACAATGACGTCATTGTCTACATGCGTAGATAATGCGACGTA